CACCGTCCAAAACTCCTAGAAGCTGTTGCGCATTAACGAGAAACAGTTAAGGTTGGTGCCGGAAGTTATCATAAAGGTAATCTATGGTTATATTATTAGAAAAATTTATTTTTATGTTGATATTTTTGGGAGTTCGGAACGGATTAAATGGATTTCGATTATTTTCAGTGGAGAAGTTTATTTCTAAACATAAGGAATTCGCTATACGAGCTCAATGATGGAACGAATTGAACTCGTATCTGGAGGTTTAGCAATCCTGAAATAATTCCCCCCCCCTTTTTTTTTTAAAGAAATGTATTGTATATTTCTCATCGACCGATTTCAGATTAACGAAAATTATTGTGGATTTTATCCGGTGAATTATCCCTTAACCTGTTTTGCCCCTTTCGCCATTGGTAGATCATTCCCCTCTTGCCTTTTCGAAAGTGGAAAAACAGGTAACATTTACATATATTTAAATTATTTTTTAACGTGTTTTATAAATTAAAAAACAAAAAGTTTAAAAAATGTTAATAAATACCAGACCCTGAATAAAAGTAGATTTTATATTCATGAACTAAATATCAGTTAAATTAAAGGAAACCTGAAACCGAAATTCGCTCCGTGAAGAATTTTCCGCTGGTGGCGCCATCTCTTGTTGAAAGTTATAGTTAACTGTATTCAGTAGCGCGAAGCTTTCATTTCACCTCGGGTTGATTTGCTGGAATCCCAATATCGTAGCATGGAGCTAAAAGTGCATTTGGTTGTTTTAGACCAATACTTAGATCTTATTCTTTCTGCTACCATTGATTGATCGCCTTATTATAAAAAATGTATAAATTTGTAATGATAAATGATGCTATAAGTGAATCAGTTAAAAATTTAAAAACTGCTCTCATCTTTGATGCTTTCTGTTTACCATGAATGATAACGTTTCGTCAGCTGATGTTGCCACCGTGGTTCTACTGCATACCTGATCTATATCCCTCGATTGGTTCCTCGCTCAAACGGGCTGTGCTGTTTAATTACCAACACAACCTCCTTGAGTGAGGGACTAGGACGGGAAAGAATCGACTCTCGTCTGATGGAAGAATCTGGTATCATCTGGAAGTGACAACACTGGAAACGGTTACAGGAAATCTGTAATTAGATTTGCTTTAAAAATGTTCTTGAGTTATATTAAATCCCAATTTCCTTTTTAATGTGTTGTTGCATTTTTTTACTAGGTAATTCAAAGATATCTTATATTATAGATGTTACGGTGAAACACCGAAATCTGGAGAATGTCGACTTTCACCGGTGAATGTCAACATTCACATAGTCTCTTGGTGTATGTCCGAAATATTTTCACATACTCTTATTTCTGACTTACACCGGTTAATGTCGACATTCACCCTGTACTAATGGTGAATGTTGAACATATAACAATATTATATTTTCTTCTCCGTCATTCAGTCGCGAATAAACGCAGTCGCAAATAATACTGTCGCGAATAATACTGCTTGCCTGCCAGTCGCGAATAATACTGCTTGAGACGAAATAAGAACATGAGAACCTAAAACACACAATACATTCAAAATGAGAAAGGAAAATAATAGAAGCTAAAATCTTACTTAATTATACAGTACGTTCTAAATGAGAAAATAAAATAACAGTCTTAAAAAACTTACTAAATTATATGATTCAAATCTTATTTATTGCAACAACTTAAACTATTATGGCACTTTATGACCTCTCTTTTCGACTTTCACCAGAGCCTATCTGTGATTGTCGACATACACCGGTGAGGGTCCGAATATACAAGAATGTAGTGAAATATTCGGTCTTTCACCGACGTATTTGGTGAATGTTGATATTCTCCGGTGAAAGTCGACATTCTCCAATTTCGGTCTTTCACGGTAACGTAGACACTAGTTATTATGCCTCATCACTAACGTTACTTTAACTGGTATTCTGCCAAAACACGTACACAAAACTCTTCAACCTAAAATTTCAAACTAATTCGGAGGGGGAGAGGAATGAATACGTTTGAAAGGAACGAACGATATCAATTAAAATTAGTTTCTAAGTCCCTATAGATCCCTCTAGAAAAGCCATTAAAAACAAAGGCCTCTAAAAATGCTTTTCTAAGTCCCTCTAGTAAAGCCATAAGCAAATGTGCTTCATCGTCAAATATAATTGTACTTGCGTATTTTAAATGCTTACATCAATTTCATAAGTAACTCTTTGAACATAACTAGCAGGCTTCAACCAAAGCAAAATTTGTAAGTTCTGTGTAGCCCTGAAAAGCAAATGTATGAAAACAATACAGTGTGGAAGAAATTAGTTCATTCTTTCTAAACAATCAATTCGTAAATAATTTTTTTTATTGCCGAACCAGAAAACAAAAACTTTTGACGTATGACGTCATGATTTAAATTTAATATAATGTAACAACATTTTTCTCAATATCAATAAAAGAATTAACGTGGCAATAATATATCGTGTCAATCATACTAACCCAAAACAAAAAAAGTTGCCAACAGCAGCTATTTATTTAAAATGCGATTATTAACGAACAATTTTCGACATTTATTGACGTCACATGCATCTGCGTGCTTTCTTCAAAGTTAGAATATGACCTGATATAATATATGTTTAATGTTTGACAATGTTATTTTTATTTCATATTTTGTAAAACTTCCAAATTTTTGTTTTAACAAACTCTACGATTTGAATGCGAGAAGTAGCAACACTTTTCTAAATGAACTACTTTTTTAAACTACTGTTTTACTGAACTACTGTTTAGAAAAGTAGTTCTAAATGAACTACTTTTCTAAACAACTACTTTTCTAAATGAAGCATTTTTATATCCAGTGCGCGAAACTGTTGCCACTCAGAAAAATGAGTGCGAAAAATTATCATTTTCAGAGTTTTTAATTAAAATTTCGGTTAATTAAAGCTGCACGAGGATGAGAATGTTCGAAATGGCTTCCTACGAATTTTTGGAATCAGGAATAATGCATTTAATGTTTGACAATGGTATTTTTATTTCATTTTTGTAAAACGTAGAATTTTATAATTAACAATTCTTTTTAGAATGCTTAACTATAAGCGCTAAAGCATAATTATAATTAATATTATATTAGTTATTATATAAAACACTTAATTTGAATAACATAGCATGCCCTGTAAATCAGCAGAAATAAATAAAAATGGCTAAAACAATATACAGATGAACACAAATAACACCACCTACAACCACAGCAAGCACTGAAAATCAAATGTCGCGGAGTGCAATGAATTGGAAGTTGATCTGTTGAAGTTGTCAGCACTATCCTTATCTTCAGGGCAGACGTTTTTACAGTCAAAAGTCGTTAATTCGGACACCCATAATACGGAATGATCTATAATCCGGACCTCAAAGCTAAAAACTTTCTGCACATCGCCGCATTGGCACATGCGCACAGGCGTTTTACGTGTGCGCGTAAGACCTTGACTACTGCACATATGCGTGTGCGCAAGTGCAGAATACATTTTCGCCTGCGCGTTTAATGTATAACGGAATTATCTAATTATCTATTTCAGTTAATGTTAATGATTGCGTTGTTCCTTAATCTTCGAATTGGATCCCGCTTATTATTTTTTGCAGACTGTAAGAGCAATTTTATAAAAGTAAACTTGAACTTTCGATTATGTCAAATAGAATTTCCGATGCTGGAACTTCCAAAGGATCTACAAAACGAAAGTATGTTTCGATGTCCAACAGACAAAAGTGGAATTGCTGCAAAAAATGGATAAAGACATGAAGAATGTGACAGAGAGGTTAGTGAAAACGAAAAAATTTCGATTGACAAGTTAGTCGGTATTCTCGGCACAGCAATTAACGGGACTTGAACAGCGGAACTTTGTAACTGAACAGGAAATTATGTCTGTTTATAGAATTAAAGAGAAAGTATTATCACATAAAACGAAGCAACTTAAACAACTTGCATTGAAAGAAATGTTTAATAAAGTAAACAAATAAATATTAAGCTTTTTTTTTTTTTTTTTTTTTTTTTTTTTTGTAAATTTTGATACCCTTTAGATCGTAATTATTCTTTATTTCATAAATTACGGTTTCATATTTTTAATTTTAGAATTTCTGCATGCCATCTTATGAGATTTAAACTGATGATCTATAATCCGGAAAAATCGATAATCCGGAATCGCCGAAGTCCCGACGAGTCCAGATTAATGACTTTTGACTGTATTTTATTTGGCTTATAATTCCTTACTAAGTGTAGTATTTCATCTCGATGTACTCCGTCTTTGATATGATTTAAATCAAATTCCTCGTCATTATAATTCGCTTCCGATAGTGAAGAAAGTGACACAGAGGATATTGAAAACGAAAAAATTTCGATTGACAAATTAGTCGGTATTCTCGACACAGCAATTATAGGACTTGAATAGTGGAACTTTAACTGAAGAAGAAATTATGTCTGTTTATAGAATTAAAGAGAAAGTATTATCACATAAAATGAAGCAACTTACATTGAAAGAAATGTTTAATAAAGTAAACAAATAAATGTTAAGCTTTTTTTTTTTTTTTTTTTTTTTTTGTTAATTTTGATACCCTTTAGATCATAATTGTTCTTTATTTTATAAATTACGGTTTCATATTTTTAATTTTATAATTTTTGCATGCCATCTTACCAGATTTAAACTGATGATCTATAATCCGGAATCGCCGAAGTCCCGACGAGTCCGGATTAACGACTTTTGAACGTACTTATTTATATTAAATTACTAACAACAGAAAATTTTGCAAAAAACTTAGATCAAAGGCCACTTTGGTTTGTGGTTTTGCCTCTAACAACTTTGAGTGGCTTTTGACGTGGTTTTGCACAATAGTTTTTCATTGTGACTAATTTATGCTCTAAACTGTTTAATGATAATAAATCTTGATTTGATAGCGTCTCATTCACCACAGCAGTCTCAGATCTTCTTCATGATTAAACAGAATCCACTGTAATTTCTTGGTATTCGTTTCTTTACAGAGTCAAAAGCAATGATTCGGCGGCTGATGTTCGTATGGTGCGTGCACAGTTGCGCAGAGCATTCAATATCTGGAGCGAAGTCTCTGCCCTGACGTTCACAGAGGTGCGAGGAAACACAGCCGACATCTTCGTCTCTTTCTTGAAAGGCCAGCATGGAGATGGATACCCCTTTGATGGGGAAGGTTCGGTTCTCGCCCATGCATTTTTTCCTGGGGAAGGGATCGGAGGAGATGCTCATTTCGATGCCGAAGAGAAATGGCTGCCTTCGCAACCCGAAACTGAAGATGATGGTAATTGGTCTTATTTTACTTGATTAAGTCCAAACAGAGCTTAAAATGCGCCGGTGACCGGCTCAGGTACTTCTCAGTTTTCAAGAAATATTATTTCAGCCAGAGTGCACCAGAGTCTTAAATAAAAGGACTCTGGAACTTCTTTTATATAAGTGAACCACAATTTTGGCAGATAAATTTTTTTTCAGTAGTAAACATGCCTTAAAAATAAATTCTAACTACTGAAAGCAGGTCTGTCTTTCCCTTACACGTAGGTTGCGACTTTTAAGGAAAGAAAGCCATCCAATCATATGTCAAAGGCTTATTCTTCAGGATGTGCAATGAATTTATCACAGTGGGCAAATTTTGGGTTTCTCAAAGTACTAAAAGTGATCTGGTTGTGCGCGTTCCATGATAGTGACTTCCTTCCTATTGCAGAAGTCCTGCAGACGTTCTAAATGATGTAACCAAACGGGAGGATCACTGCTGTCACCTGTACAGAGAAGTCTTAAATTTATTCTCATGTTGTTACCGAATCGTAGTCGGGGAAAATTTCTGCTTGACGGCTAGAATTATATCGGCAGGGCATTGCGATCAGAAAGTCTTGGAACTTTTCCCTCTTTATTTCCAAAGCTACACTTTTCCATTAAAATTTCCTTCGGTATTCAAATACTGTTTCTAGAATTCTTCCTGTTCTCCTTTGTGGAGCTTTAATCGTTTTATCTTTTTTCCTTGGTGTGCTGCAAAAAACGAGTGGTACCTGTCATCCCTTGGAATAGTGCATTATACATATAATCAGGACTTAAACTCAGATGGCGATTGACTGAGTTGCTTCTTAGCTTCTAAGTGGAATTGTAATTTCAGCCAATGCCCCAAATAAGACAAGGTCCAATATTTTTTTTATTTAACCATTTTAAAATTAATTTAATAACTTATTATATTTCTTTTTATCTCTTCTCTAATTTTAAGCTATTTTATTTATTTATTTTTTCTTTTGTTCCTCAGTCTTCCATAGGGCTCCGACACTTCTAATTTTAGAAATTAAGCCGAGCCCAAATGCACAAGCACCTAAAAATAGGAGGGGGGGGGGAACCCAAACTCCAGTTATTATTCGATTGATCAAATATTCCAACAATCCATTTCTTTAAGTACAGTTGTGTCGATTATCTGAATTTCAGTTATTAGAATTGTTCATTTATTCGAATTATGTTTCCTGTTGTGTAAAATACATTTCATCATTAGCAAAACTCTTCTTATGAAGTCAAACGTACTATCTGAACTACAATTAATTGTTCTTTCTGGTTATTCTGAACATATTTGACAGCTTCAATATTGGAAAGGCCTGGATGTTTATTTTAACAGTTGTTTTTCCTTTTCCTCAATTTATTGCTCATCTTTATCAGACACCATAGAAGGAAATGCAATGTTTACCTACATCTGTGACACATAACTCAGCGAATACTCCAGTGCACAAAACGTGAAATCTTGAAATTATATTCCAGAGCATATTACGTTACATAATTTGATAAACTTCCTCTTGTACAATGGGTAAAAAAAGTATTGGCAATTGCCTATAATTGATCATATTAGCTAACAAAGGAAATGTTTGACAATTTTATCTAGACATAACGAACACAGAAGGTAATAATGAAATAAATCTAACGAAACTTTCATTTTAATATGCCTTTTACACAAAATATACAATAAAAATGTAAATTTGCATGTCAAAAAAGTATTGGCACATCATACAGCAAAATGTGGGAACAAAATTTAATACTTTGTATTCATACCTTTCCATTTAGAATAGTTCGTAATCTATTTCTCACAGAGAAAACCTTGTCTTGATTGTACTTTTACACTTTTTGTACCGTTCTTGTATATGCTTAAGTTCATCTTTACTGGAAATTTTATGTTTTCTGAATTCTGGGTTCAATTTGTGCCATAAATTTTCAATCGTATTTATATTAGGCGGTTGAGGCAGTATCTTTAAGTGGCGAGAAGGCGTTATAGAGTAAGCACTCTTGAGTGAGTTTTGTTGTATCCTCAGGGTAATTGTCCTGTTGAAACACGAATGATGTTCCTAAGCCAAGATTTTAGGCACTCAATTCCAAGTCAAAGAGCAATATATCAAGGTACTTACGTGCTGTCATAATGCCAGGTTACCAACTCTGTTTGCTGCTATACAGCCCCAAACTATGACACTCCCTCCATCATGTTTCACAGTCGGTGTTAAATATGAAAACCCAGTTCAATGTTTGGCTGCCTCCACACATATTGTCGTCCATCATTCCCGAAAGTGTTAAATTTGTATTCGAGAAAATAAACAGGCGAGTTTGTGTTCCAAAACTCACCTGATAAATTAACATGACATTTTGCAAAATCTAAGCTTTTTCTCTTGCTTATTTCTGAAATGAAAGGTTTGTGTTTAGTTGCACTTCCATAATAACTTCCTTCATGTAAAACATTCCTTATGGTTGGTACACGAAAAGTTTTATGTGAAGTATTAGCAACATCTTTGGCTAACTGGGGTGCACTTATTTTAGGGTTTTTCCTAACCTTTTTAATAATGTCATGTTTTTCCATTGCAAAAAAATATTCAAGGCTGTCTACTTCTAATCTTATTTTCCGTTGATCTTGTCTCATTGAACTTTTTTACAATACTTCTAATAGTAAATAAATTTACATTCAGTTGTATTCTTATAGAACAGCAAGTTAAACCCTCATTTCTGAACTGAATTATCAGGTTTTTAAATTAATATCCAAGTTCTTTGACTCCAAAGTCATTTTATCACAGTATTAGCAAAATAATATTTTTTAAATGTTTTGAAGTAGGACTGCAGATTTTATACTAACGGGGTTTCTTATAAGTCTAAACAAGTGACCTCAACACAACAAAATTTGCATAGCAGTTAGAATTTTGCCAATACTTTTTTGACAAGCAAGTTTGTTTTTGTTGTGTGTTTTTTTGCAAAAGGCATATTAAAAGGAAAGTTTTTTTAAATGTTTTGAAGTAGGACTGCAGATTTTATACTAACAGGGTTTCTTATAAGTCTAAACAAGTGACCCTCAACACAACAAAATTTGCATAGCAGCAGTTAGAATTTTGCCAATACTTTTTTTGACAAGCAAGTTGTTTTTTGTTGTGTGTTTTTTGTGCAAAAGGCATATTAAAAGGAAAGTTTTTTTAAATGTTTTGAAGTAGAACTGCAGATTTTATACTAACAGGGTTTCTTATAAGTCTAAACAAGTGACCTCAACACAACAAAATTTGCATAGCAGTTAGAATTTTGCCAATACTTTTTTGACAAGCAAGTTTGTTTTTGTTGTGTGTTTTTGTGCAAAAGGCATATTAAAAGGAAAGTTTTTTTAAATGTTTTGAAGTAGGACTGCAGATTTTATACTAACAGGGTTTCTTATAAGTCTAAACAAGTGACCTCAACACAACAAAATTTGCATAGCAGTTAGAATTTTGCCAATACTTTTTTTGACAAGCAAGTTTGTTTTTGTTGTGTGTTTTTGTGCAAAAGGCATATTAAAAGGAAAGTTTTTTTTAAATGTTTTGAAGTAGAACTGCAGATTTTATACTAATAGGGTTTCTTATAAGTCTAAACAAGTGACCTCAACACAACAAAATTTGCATAGTAGTTAGAATTTTGCCAATACTTTTTTGACAAGCAAGTTTATGTTTTTGTTGTGCGTTTTGTGCAAAACGCATATTAAAAGGGAAGTTTAATTAGATTTGTGTGTTTATTACCTCCTGTGTTCGTTATGTCAAGCATTTTCCTTTGTTAGCTAATGTGATCAATTACAGGCAATTGCCAATACTTTTTTTACCCACTGTATACTGTTACATCACACCAGTTTTGTTTAAACTGAGTCAAAGAAAAAATTAAATATGTCGATAAATAAATAAATAGCGACCTTAACATGACCTCGGAAGAAGAAGAAATGACACAGATAATTCAAGTTCTTCAGAATTAACTAAGCTGTACCAAAAAATAAAAAATAATTGTTTAAAAATATTTGAAGCAACTATTATTTTTAATGAGTTGAAGCTATTATTTTTTAATACCATATTTAATTTATATGTTTTAAGATAAATTTATTTCATATCCATGGATAACTCTTATGAATATTTGAAGTCTAATTTTAATTAATAGAAGATAATTATAACACCATATATTACATACCTCATACTGAAGCCCTTCTCCTTTTTAGTATTTACTGATTTTTCTATTATATAATACATCTGATTATCAAGTTCACAGTTTTTATGTAATTACGCAAATAAATCATTTGCTCTATTATGTATTGCAGTTTCATTCTGAATCCTTAAAAAATACTTCACCTACAATAGCTAAATTAATGAAATAATTTCAACTTCTCCTACAGATGGCGTGAATTTATTTGCCGTGGCAGCGCATGAAATAGGACATTCTCTAGGACTGTCCCATTCATCTATACCAGGATCCTTGATGTTTCCGTATTATCAAGTGATTGGCGAACATTTCCGTTTGCCCAGAGATGATGTGGAAGGAATAAGGCACCTATATGGTAAATTTTAACTTTATGAAATTATACTGTATGACTGAAATCGGACAAAAAGGAAAACCTTATTGCATGTAAAATGTAGAATTCATCGTTTTACTTATTTTTCTTAACACTTTGACGCATTCGCGACATGTAGTAGAATGTATTGCATTTGTTTTTTTCTTCTTAAATAAAATAATTGATTCTCTTGCCAGTTCTTATGACTAAAATCTTTTGTGATTAAAATTAAAACTCAACTCAAAACAAATTTCAATCTTAACACCTTCAACGTTCGCTTTTATATCTCCTTTTGGCACCTAAAATTAGGTGTAGACATTATGCCAGTCAACAATTGGTATACTTTTCATTTGTCTTTCCATATTATAGAAATGCTTTGTTCAAAGTAGAATAAATTACTCGTTCAAAATTTCCTTTTTATCTGGTGTTCTCAAAAACTGTTATTTTATATCATAAGTGTCAAAACTAAATTAAATTTTGAATATGTTGTATTGGTTCATTGCAGAACTTCTAATCTGTATCCATTATCGTTTGCAACTAAATGAAATCAGATGAAATGTTTTAATAACATACAGATTGCAACTCACTCTCTATATATATCTGCAAATCCTTTTTTAAAAATTTTATGAAAAACTTAATATGCATATTAAAATATTTAGTGCTTTTCTATTAATATAATTTTAGGTGCCAAAAGGAGATATTAAAGCGAATGTCGAAGGTTGTTAAGATTGAAATTTGTTTTGAGTTGAGTTTTAATTTTAATCATAAAAGATTTAGTCATAAGAACTGGCAAGAGTATCAATTATTTTATTTAAGAAGAAAAAAAAACAAATGCAATATATATTTAATTTCTTTTTTTTAAACAGATTTTAATGGTAAATTCTTGTTTGAAGTGCAGCTGTAATCTGATATTCTCAGATAGCAGTTTACAATACCGATTTAAAAAAAAATCTGTCACCAAAATGGCAATGAAGAGCAAGTTACACTTTGGAAACTTCAGATTATGAAGTAACACTTCACTTTTAAATAACAACAAACATCAAAACTAACAAAAGTAACAACATCTAGTAATATGATTCATAAAACTGAACTTTTGCTGTTGAATAACTTCGTTGTTGAAATTCAACTCAAAAAGTCTTTTAATTTGTAACTCCAGTGTTTATTTTGGCCTTCCTTCTCACAAATGTCCTCAGAAAGACATGTCATTTTCAAAAGTAGTTGTCTTTAGGAGGTGGTCCACTGTATTAGAAGTTTGTCATCTATGTGTTCCTAGAAACTTAATCAGTTTTATTGCCACGCAGACGGTATAGTGGTTAGGGAAATCTACTGTGGTATCGAAGGGCCCAGGTTCGAATCTCGGAGAAGGCTAAATTAATGAAATAATACTTTTTTGTGCGTTTTGTTTGTAACTACAGTCAATGTTTGTAAATACAGTCAAAAGTCGTTAATCCGGACTCGTCGGGACTTCGGTGATTCCGGATTATAGATCATCAGTTTAAATCTGGTAAGATGGCATGCAGAAATTATAAAATTAAAAATATGAAACCGTAATTTACGAAATAAAGAACAATTATGATCTAAAGGGTATCAAAATTTACAAAAAAAAAAAAAAAAAAAAAAAAAAAAGCTTAATATTTATTTGTTTACTTTATCAAACATTTCTTTCAATTTAAGTTGTTTAAGTTGCTTCGTTTTTTATGTGATAATACATTCTCTTTAATTCTATAAACAGACATAATTTCTTGTTCAGTTACAAAGTTCCGCTGTTCAAGTCCTATAATTGCTGTGTCGAGAATACCGACTAATTTGTCAATCAAAATTTTTTCGTTTTCAATAACCTCTGTCACTTTCTTCGCTATCGGAAGCGAATTATAATGACGAGGCATTTAATTTAAATCATATCAAAGACGGAGTACATCGAGATGAAATACTACATTGAGTAAGGAATTATAAGCCAAATAAAATAAAAACATCTGCCCTTAAGATAAGGATAGTGCTGACAGATCAACTTCCAATTCATTGCACACTGCTGCAGCGTTAAAGATAAACAAAGTTTAGGTAAACAAACGTTAAAGTTTAGACAAACAAAGGATATGCCTTTATCCGTTTTTTGCAGCAATTCCACTTTTTGTTTAATGGACTCCGAAAGATACTTTCGCTTTGTATATCCTTTACATATTAGTAAATATATATTGGAAATTCTATTTGACATAATCGAAAGTTCAAGCTTACTTTTATAAAATTGCTCTAACAGTCTGCAAAAAATAATAATCCGGATCCAATTCGAAGATTAAGGAACAACGCAATCTGCAACATTAACTGAAATAGATAATTAGATAATTTTAGCTTAGCTTATCCTGTCCATTATACATTAAACACGCATTCATAAACGTATTTTGCGCACGCGCACACGCAAATTCGCAGCGGTAAAGGTCTTACGCGCATGCGCAGAAAGTTTGTAGCTTTGAGGTCCGGATTATAGATCATTCCGTATTATGGGTGTCCGAATTAACGACTTTTGACTGTATATAGTGTCTTTGCGGCATGAGGACACTGTAAATATATAGCTAGCCAAAAGTCCTCTTGAGAGGTTTGTGGTAGGGAAAGAGGGGTGGAAGATCCTCCGACCCATCCCCCCTGAGGTGCTCGCCATCAAAATTGAGGGCGGAACTGAGCAAAGTCGTACTGTCATTGTATGGTGCTCAAGGCTCTTGCCAATGACAGGCGGAATCTTGCTCTCCTTGCCACGATGAATTTCTTGCACTTATTCTGATGTTACTGTCAGACAAGTGAGATAAGTTAAGACAACAAATTCAGTTTTATTGTTTCCTTGTTGAAGTCAAAGTATAAGAAGCAAAGGAATGGGTGTAACTGTTGCTCATAGGAGGCAAAGGTGGCTGTCTATTATGTGCCCCCACTTCTGCGTTTGGGAGAGGCAAATGTTGAATAGGGAAGTGCCTGCTAGTAGATTGGGGAGGGGGAAGTTATAGAAGTGTTTTAAATGACCAAAATCTTGTTTCAATAATGTCAAATTAAAAAAAAAAAAAAAAATTGGACAAATAATGAAATCTGACTTTTAATGCAGGAAGTAGAAAATATATAGCTACAAGAAATAACGAATTTTACAAATGAACATCTGCTTATAGTGTAAGAGAAAACTGTAATTCAATTTAATAGAGAAATAAATATCGTTAAATTCAGTCCTAAAAGTGGAGGATCACCGACATCAAAAATCGTAACTTTGGGACCAAAAACACGCAAGAAATTTGCAAAATCGATATCAAAGCAAAGGATAAAATTAATCCATACATAAACTCAACAGCTTTTCAGTCTCTGCCTTACAAAGTAGAAAAATTCTTTAACTTACTCGAGATCTCTCGATGTGGCAGTGTTTGTCTGAAGGGAAATAGATCTGCAGAACTAACTAAAAACAGTCAGTGCATAATTCTCAAAAATATATATTCTAAAAACTTTGTAAATATCAGCATGTTGGAAAGAACTTGCCAAATATCATAAACTTAACTATCAAATTTTGCCATTAGTAGTGATGAAAATTTTAACAAAGGACTTGCATTTATGAAAACAAAGTATCAAGTTATAATTAAATGCTTTACTTTTTTGTGCATGCCGAACATTACCTTGGCCAGCAAGGTCGCCGTATCTCTCTCCTACTGAGCACGTTTGGAGCATTATGGGAAGGGCCCTCCAACAACCTCGAGATGTTGACGATCTAACATGCTAGTTGGACAGAATTTGGCACGATATCCCTCAGGAGGACATTTGCAACCTCTATCAATCGATGCCAAGCCAAGTAACTGCTTGCATAAGGGCCAGAGGTGGACAAGCACGTTACTGACTTTTTCACTTTGTGAAGCTCTATCATTTCAATAAATCATCCAATTTTTCTCAAACTGTAATCATTTGTTTTTCTGTACATGTACTTCACTTTTACCGATTTTCATTCCATTCAGATAACTCCTTCTTGGTGCGTCGTTTTCTTTTTTTTTGTCTAAGAGTGTACAATAATTATTATATAATTGCTGTATTTATATGAAATGACAATGTTTATTATTAGGTGTTAAAGATCCAAAGAACCAGCCCACCATGCCAACGATGTCTACTATAAAAACGACAAAAAAGACAACAACGACAACATCTCAAACGACGGCTGCTCGAGAGACTGAAGTCATTCCTTGGAAAACTACATTCAAGCCCCGTATGATCCCCATCCATCCATCGACGAGTGTTCCAATTGTCCCCGATATCTGTAACTCCTCCATTGATGCTATATCTGTTATCAGAAGAGAAGTTTTTGTTTTTAAAGGAAAAGTAAGTAAGATAAATAAAATTTTAAATCTTTATAATTTGTGTTTCTTTACCGGGAATTTTCTTGTTTTTGGTTTAGTACAGACTTCAGAATCTTTGGATAATTAATGTTTTGCTAATGGGCTTTATCATGCATGAGACTTAAAAAATGTTGCCATTGTGCGAATCAGTCTGTAAATGTTTACCAAATTGACTGAAAAGCTGTAAACATACTTTTAATAATTTAAATACAGAATTCAAAATTTGTAACTTTTTTTTTTTTTTTTTTATATACTATCTTCTGAACCTTTTGACACAAAATCAAACTTTTTCTGAAATAACCTACCACTTCGCTTCCATACTTCGATTCTACGACTCAAATTATTGCAACCTCTAAGTGCTAAGTTTTGTGAAAATGGCATGAGTAGTTTTTAAAAAAATTAGCTTTCAAAATTTCAACTCGTCCATGTTCTTTGAATTTGGTACATATTTATTAATATCTTTTTTTTTATTAAATTTATTTGATTCTTCCTTTTACATTTCGAAATTTAGGTTCATTCCAAATAAAATTCGCCCATTTTTTATGATTTATTTTTAAAATAATTTTTATAAATTTTTTGAAAACATTTGGAATTATAACCTATAAAAGTTTTACCATCATCTTAATGTAGATACATTTCTAAGCATTTCTGTAAAAAATTAGTTTTTATACAAAATTTCCTAAGATATAAATGAATTTACACATTGACGTGTTTTGAAATATGCCATATATTTGTTATAAGCGATAATGCCAAATGTGGTTTACACACTTTGTTGAAATTATTTGAAGTAATGAACAATAACTTTTTTTTCGGCTAGCGGTACAATGAAAAAATGGAAAGGAAAGTAGGTTGCTATAAATTAAGTTTGCCAAGTGAATTAATTAGTCTTGGCTCAAACTGACAAAAATACATCAAGAAAAAGTTTTATGTTTCTGCATAAATTTCTTACAAAAAATTACAAAATTTAATATCTATGCATAATCTGAGTCGTACAGTGGAAATATGGAAAAAAATTGGTATGTTATTTTAGAAAAAGTTCAATTTTGAGTTAAAATACTTATGTTAGAGCAATGCTATATATAAATCTAAATCTTAAGCTGCACTTTAGAGACATGGAAAAAGCAATTTGAATTTCGTCAATTGGCCCTGTAGAACAGGAGTATACAATAGATCCTTTTTACTTCCTTGTACGAAGTAAAAAGGAAGTATTGTAATCGCGAAAAGCTTCAGGCAGCATATTTCAACGAAAATATCCACTTTGACCGCTTTCGAATGCAATTTAACGATGTTTTTGCGTAATATCTATATGTAAGGACAGAATAAAAGACTCTTTTCCTAAAAAAAAAACTGCTTTAAAATGAATTCTGAAGAGAATTTTTTGTGGCGTCTGTACGAACATATGTACGTACGTGCGTACGAACGTATGTCGCGTAACTCAAAAACGAGTAGCCTCAGAATATTGAAATTTTGTATATAAGACTACTATAACATGTAGATGTGCACCTCGTATTTTGGTTTCAATCGGCCACGCCAAACGTATATAAATATATTTATAAATCTATCCACTCTGTTACCCACCTCAGTAATCTCAGTTTCTTTACTCTTATATATTTGTAAATTGTACATATGTTGCTTTAAAAATGATTGAATTATGTTGTTTTTATCTTTCGGTTAAAGTTTTTATGCCTTTCATAATTCTGGAAGCAATATTTGTACAATTATCAACAATTTTAAAGCTGTTTAAAAGTGCGGTTAAGTTTTAAATAATATGGCAGACATATTTGTTTACATTTGAAACACAGCAGATTCTAGATTTGTTGTCATCTAGAGACACTATGCTTCGCAAACACAAAAATAACGCCTTCATTTATTATTGCGAATTAATCATGCTTAATCCTTTCTGGAATTTTTTCGAGGAAATAAGTATTTAAGATTTACTTCGTAATTTTTAATACAGATATTTTGAGTTTTTATGTATTTTTGCCTTGTCGTGAAGTGAAAACGGAATTAATTGAATGAGAAATACTCAATCGTCTGTGAAAAACTGTTTCTTTTTCGTTTTGTTTGCTTAATTTCTTTTATACATCATTCTAGCTTTGGTATAGTATTTGAATAGAACATGTGGCAACAATTAGATAATTCTTTAAACAATATAAATTTTGTGCATTCTGAGTTATAATATGAACGAAATATAATACTGTTAAGTAAACCTAGCACCAGAGTGTCCCTATGGTAAACAAAGTGAATTTTAAAGAATGCATTTGTTCTAATTGTGGTTTATGCACTGTCGCGAGTAGGTTTAATTCAATCTAATAAGTTAAATGAAATGCAAGAAAAAATGCGTATAATTTAATATTCCGTACAAGGAAGTCATGTGGTGTACACATCAGATTTTTGCTTTTTGTGCAGTGTACATATTACAATGTCTGTGTTGTAAGAATATAATGTGGATTGTGATTTCAGCACTTCTGGCGTTTGGACACAAATAGAACTTTGAGAGCTGGATATCCAGTATCAATAAATCGATTTTGGTATGACCTGCCATCTGATATCAAAAGAATTGATGCTTTGTATGAAAGACCTACAGACACCAAAATTGTTTTCTTTTCTGGTAAGTTAAAATTTTTAACATTAATAAAAATATGAATAATGCTTACCATTATTTGCTACTTATTTGAAATTAAATTAATACAGGACCATACAGAAATTAATTTTTCACTTCTGACTTTTAGTATTGATTCTGGTCCTTCAGTACTAATTTTTAACTATCTGTACTAATTTAAAATTTTCAAACTGTTTATGTTGGTTTTTACAAATAATGTAGCGAGAATACCAATTTTAGAAATTACCAAATTTCATTTTCATTCGATATAAAATTATTTTTAACACCTCGGAGTTCACCATGCGATGATAGCGAAACAAAAAATTTTGCTAGTTCCATTTCTGAAAAAGAGCATTGCAAGTTCACTGGCTTCAATGGTTGGGCAAAGTTGCATCTTGAATTAATTCTTTTCTTTATTAATTAAGTTATAACGTGTGCATGTAATTGGTGTTATGTTAGGATGAAATAATAGAAAGTCCCCTTCCCTTTCATCATTTAAGTTTGCTATATTTACTGCTCATTTTAAATTAGTCATCTCTAAGGCGACCATTCCCGATTCTAGTCATTTGAGTAGGTGGTGATTTTAGAAAGGCTATTCCAAGTAATGATGTTTACTTAAGTTTTCAGTAAAAATTGTTCTTTCTAGAAGGGATTTTTAAAAGAGTTTTCAATGTCTAGATTTTTATGTTCCATTTCACCTAAATTTTCTGTGACTGATTTGTAAACTAGTGGACATATTGTGACTGTTTCAAATGTTTAAAGTTAGATCTGAATTAAATTGGCTTAATGGTAGTATTTTATGGTTTTTTATAACTTTTTAAAATTTTTAATGCCAAATAGATTGTCGAACCTTTAAGAAGACTTTGAGGTGCTAGATAGTAATCTGAAGTTTTCAGATTACTATCTAGCACCTCAAAGTCTATTGTAATCTGAAATTGTAATAAAATGATAAAATTGTAAACTGAAGTTTTCAGATTACAATTTTATACATTTCATTTTGTACTTTTTTGCCCATATAAGAGAATACAGTGAACTCTTGCAGCAACCACCCCTGAATAGGATCAATATGTTTGAGAACATAAATACACATTGACTAGAACTACCTCCAGATAACACAACATTTGGAACCATCGGTGGTTGTCTTAAGAGAGTACTTCACTGTACAGTGAACCTTCTTGTGGGTTTCATTTGAAAATTACTCGTATTTCTAAAAACAGCTGACTACTTTCAGAGAAGACAAAAATTGTCTGGAACTGGGTGTTGTAATAGAGAAGATTGGTTGCATTCATCTCCCTTCATCTGCATAGTAACAAATTGCTATGTTACTGCTATATAGTTGACACTTGAGTCCAAACCTCTCACAGTTTTCACTTTACATTAGCCTTACCAATAATACAAACAGTACATTAATACTTATGTATTTGAATGGTGTATTGTTGTGAAATGTCCAGCTGCGGTAAGACAGCTTCTCCGTAGAGGAGGTTTAGGGTTGCGAGAAAGTTGCAAGGAAAGGCAGAGTTGCCAGAGACGAAGCAAGAACACCGGTTTTCCGGAGAATGTTTTCGAAGACAGGTCAAAAGCTATAAATACCCTGCTTGTACATGGAGTAGCAGTGAGTTTTATTACGAAGAGTATCTTGAGTTCAGTAGTACTGCTTTGAAATTAGCTTGAGAGCAATCGACCAAGTTGGGAGCTGTACTTTAGTGTTTCACTAAAGCCTCAAGTACTCATTATAGCCTGATAGCCTGTGTTGCTGATTGTTTCAGCATGTCTATCCTAGTTTTTTGACAGCTGTAAACATGTCTTTGGAGTGGCAAGCACGTTGCGCAGCTGCATGCTGGTCCGGAGTTCAATTCCCGGGCTAGGTAAGGATGACTCAGCCTTTCATTGATAAAATGAGTACCAAGTTCGCTTGGGGACTAAACAACCGGGGCACCTGTGACAAGCTGACCACTTGTCCAGGGCATATGCTGATGAATCGCAGGACCCAAAGGTAAAGAAAGCATATTTCGGGGCACTGCAGGCCATGGCCCACTACGGCTGTACAATGAGTTTAGTTTTAAACATGTCTTTGGAACTATCCTGTGTAATTATTCATGAATAAATTGTGCTTTTGATTCCTCATCAATCACTCAATACACGAACCTGTAGAATTAAAAAATTTTTAAATCCTGAGAATTTTTAACTATCCTGAACCTGAACCTGAGAATTTTTAAATGTAAGTATGCAGTATTATAATACTATACTTACATTTAAAAAAAAAGAGAGGAGAAGGAATTCTGAGAAAGAAAATCATTTATTTGCAAGATAAATTATTGTCTGTTGTCGGCACTTAAATTGTCCTGCAGGTTACAAAACATTTTACTTTTGATACATATTATTGGACTAGGTAACAAAAAATAAAAACTCTTATAATGTATATATTTGTTAAATGTTTGAGAAATCCACAAAACATATCAAACAATTCAACTTTAACTTCAACTAACTTATTCCTGCTTATTTTACTTTAAATAGCATTAAACATATACAAAATTAAACGAGATATGCAGACCATACTTTAATGCCATGGCTCAGTTTAATAAATGAATTGTTATATATGCCATATTGTTAATATTTTATGCCATAAAACATTTTTAAGCACAAACTCTCAACACCTGAACTCACCCCAATACTGAGAGTGTATGATAATTGTAGAATTCAAAAGTGAATCTCATTAAGATCAACAGCTGCAGCTGATTTTGCTCTTTGTGGAAGTGATTGGATTAAAGAATGATGTTCAATACTGGTGTTTATTTCTTCTAAAAATAATCAGTTTCAGAGGTTTTAGTCACTGTGTTTCATAAGTACAATATGTATTACAGCTAAGGCTTTTGGTTTTATTGTTTGTTTGTTAATATTTTAACTTGTTATGAATTACGATATGTGAAGTCTTCAAGTATTTGTGAGCTAACTTGTTGCTGAATTTTAACTTCTCTTTACAGATTCCTGCTTATTTTATAGTAAATGATAAAACAGACTTATTATTTACATGCATTTTAATTACTCACGAACCATCTAAACTGAAGGCAGATAGTTGTGGACTACCCAGTTTGTTTTTCAGATTGTTTTAGAGTTAAAAAAATTTTTCCCCGTATATTATCAAAAAATTCTGCTTAATTAGCAAAATCACGCAACTCAAAAACCTATTTAATTCAACAGTCAATTTGCTTTTAACTGAATGATTTTTAAAGTAATTTACAGGCATGGAAAAAATTCTTTGAAAATAAAGATTTCAAAACTTCATTCAAAAGCACATTTCTTTTGCCGACATGCTATTTATATTTTAGCTGAAATTCAATACACAAATGAATAAAATCACATGCTCTTTGGTTTTCCAGGCAAACAACATTGGCTATTTTCTGCTAATCGTGTAGAACCTGGATATCCTAGGCCACTAACGGATCTCGGTCTTCCGTCCGACCTAGAAAAAATCGATGCGGCGATGGTCTGGGGACACAATGGCAAGACATATCTTTTCAGTGGCAAGGAATACTGGAAGTTGGACGAAGAAGACGGTACTGTGGAACTGGATTATCCCAGAAAAATGAGTGCATGGAGGGGAGTGCCGTTCAACATTGATGCTGCATTTCAGTGGATAGACGGTAATTTTTTTGCATGATTTTATTAAGTTCCTTTTGTTTTTATTTACTCGAGTTGCCTCTTAAAATTAATTTTTGACCCTTTTCTGCCTAAGTGATTTTCTTAAGAATTTTACAGTTATATAATTGCAACAATCACATAATATATAACACAGCGATGCTTTTCAAAAATTTTGAATGCATCCGTGCCCTCTCAGGCATTCAAGTCTGAGCCTTTGGTATGGCGGTTGGCATCACTAACTGCATTCCCATCTGGGCGGCATATGTAATGTATAATAAATAATAAGAGAGTTTGTGCATGTGTATCAGACAGCCTCAAAACTACACTGTTTTGGCAACTACAGTTCATACAGACAGTAAAAGCCTGCATCTCGAACAAAAATTTCAAAATTCGGTTACAGTTTTTTGATCTAATAATTAAATAATCTTTTCATGGATCTTCATTTAATAAAATAAACTAACTAGTTAAAAATTTCACTGCTTTCTTCATTGGATAGAGGGAGAATAAATCTTTTAAATGAAGTTTATCGCTAATTCCTAAAGTAATTCGTTCTAGAGAAAATTCAGCCCTTGCCCTTTTTTAAAACAAAAAATATTATCTAGCCAATTTTTTTTTGCATATCTCCCCAATATTTCATGTAATAACTTTGCTATATAGAAACTTCAATTGAGAGAAGCTAATTTTCTTTCCTATTGCGATTTTTATAGAATTTCTTGCGACTTTGTTCATATACACCTGAAAATAGAACCATGGGTGATGTATAAGAACTATAAAAGGACATGAAGGGTGTATCAAAGAAAAGTAGAAATAACAGCACCCAAAAATGCCATACATAGAAATAATTGCATTCAATCCATTTAAATCTTTTTTTTTTCCCCCAAGAGTTTAATTTTAAAACTTGATTATTTTTTCATGTCTATTTTACATATACATATCACAGTTCTTCATTGTACCTCATTTTATTAGTTTAATTTTACTATTATTTATAACTTTTTATTACATTACTTTTTTTAGGTTAGATACTTCATTTGTTTTATAGATTTCACTTTTTAATGATTTAGTGAAATATATAACGGCAAAATTCAAAAACTGGTCGGTATAAGAGTTATTTGCAATGTGTTCAGTTATTTTATTTCAACAATCTATGTAAACAATTTCATTTAGAATCATTTTCATCATCTATGAATGTCTGCAGCATTATTTTAATTAATAAAATGGATTTCTGGTCCATATGCAAGTTTTGTATGACAGAATTTAATTTTTTAATGGCAAACTTTTTCAGACTAAAATTTGTAAAATCACTTGATAGGATGCCATCCGACAAAATAAACGATGTTATAAATCTTAACTTACATTTTCTTTTCTCGTATGCAGTCCGACCATTATTCTGAGCGACTCTTAATATGACAGTTATATTTAAGAAAAAGGAAGTTTTTATTTTTTGAAGTGCTGTCTATTCTTATTAGACTTGCACTGCTAACATTTATTAATTACATCAGCTTATAAATAGGCCTGCCATTACAAATTAACTACATATATTTACAGTGCTATACATTCTACTGAACATTTTCATTAATAGATCTTGTAGGAAACCAAAATAAACTGACATCCATTTCCTAACAAATTAAATAAAATAGAAATCAAATGATGTGTGTATATTCTTAAATGTATAATATAAGAAATATTTTTTTATTAATACATTATGCACATAATATTCAATTTCAGTGCTGGTGGTTAGAGATCTGGGTAGAATTTGATAGAAGAATGTTATTTTAAAATTGTATATTGCCAGTCAACATTGACTGGAATGAAAATTATATAATCAGTCCCTGGTGGGTTTGACAATTAAGTGCCATGTTATTCGCCATACTTAAGACCACAATTGTACATAAAAATTACTAGTTGCATATGTAGAGTGAATGTATTTTAAATAATTATTTAAATGCATTTTTATTTATTTTAAGGATATTTTATTATATACATATTTTAAAATATGCAAATTTGATAAATTATTAAAGTAAAACACAGACTGAAATTTTTAAAAGTGCATTTTGAAACCACTCAGTTTAAGCAATTTATTGATTGATTAAATATGAATAAAGATCTTAAAGTTTCACATTGCCAAGGTGCATTCTAACTTAATGTTTTTAGACAGGCATTTTAAAAATTTTTATACAGTGTCCATAAGTCCTTAAATAATTTTAAGCTTGTTGTTTGAGAATGTCACAAACAGGGTTTTTGTGACAAGTGACACAAATTGCATGCCCTCAACATGCAAACCATTCGTTGCACGTAGACTATCAAGCCGATATACCAGCTGTGTTCATGTATGGTGGTACTATAAAGCATAATCAATAGTAGCAACGGCATTACTGGTGCTCATCTTCAGGTCTACAAAGTTTGATAGTCAAACAGTAAACAATGTCTAACACAAGTCCCTACACAAAGTCCAAATGTCAGTCAGGTGGATAGGGTGGCCGTGGAATGAATCCTACTCTCCTGATCATCTGTTGGTAAATGCTCTGTTGAGAAAACTGTAAACACACAGTGCTCAGTTTGGTGACATACCATCCTGCTAAAAATGTACAGCTATGGAATCAGTGCATCGAGGTAAATTCTGGCTGTTATTCTTTGTTGATTAAAGAAAAATGGTCCTAAAATCGTGTCGTGCAACATCTTACATTACATAGTCACTTTCAGATTGCTATGCTTCAACTCTGTTGTGACATGAGGATTTGTTTATCCCCAAATCCTCAATTACATTAAACAAAACAAAAAAAAAAAAAAAAAAAAAAAAAAGGGGGGGGGGAGATTGGCATAGATTTTCAACTAAGAGTATCGATTTTGAGGACAAACAGGCACAGGTTTTTCGTCATCAGGAGGAAATAAAAATACATCAAACACAAGGTTGGTTTACTTTGACATGTTTTCCTTCTCTGACAAAGTTTTGCTTTGCTGAATGATAGCACGCAGAGAATTTGCTGTGCACAGAAGATAATTTCTAAGGAGAAATTTCTGAAGGTAATTCAGAAATTGCAAATACCATACTTGTAAAGGGTGTAAATGCACACAACTTTAGGAGAAAAAAAAAAGTATTTTTATATGAAACCAGCAATTTTAACTTTTGTGTTTTATCCCCTAGGAAATACTTACTTCTTCAAAGGAAAGAGATTTTGGAAATTCATTGATGTTAAAATGAGAGTGGACAAAGTCGTGTCTGAAATGGGAGGATTCTGGTTCAAGTGCCCTGGAAAAACGATTGAAAAAACTGCACCAGTGACAGAAAAGCCTCCCAAATTTGAAAAAGAATTGGAAAACTGTGCCCAAATCCGTTCGTTGTCAGTTTTATGTCTGTTGATTGTATTAGCTTTGTTAAAGTAGAAATATGTCCATTTAAATTATACTTAATAAACCATTAGTGAGATGTATTAAATGTGGAAGTTGTAACTATGTTAATAACAATTTCTTTAACACAACTGATAAACATTTTACTAAACGTTAACAAACTTTTATATATCATCCTTTCTTTTTCACATTTGCTCAGAAATTAACATGAAGTGACTGGCAGTTTTTTGTGAATTTACAGATTATAATCATATATCTAACATGTTTCCTAAACTTTGGACATCATTGCCCATTTAAATGATTTGATAATTAGCTGCAAGTAAAAAAAAAAAAAAAAAAAAAAAAATTAATAAATTTCAGTTTCAGTTAGATTTAGTTAGATTCTTGGCATAAATTACATAAAGAAAAGATATTTGTAACACTGGCTTTATTTATTAGGCCTGGATTTAAATTTAACATCATTAAAATTATCAACTTTAACTATTTAACTAAAAAGAGAGCAGAATGGAAGGCTTGGGCCACCCTGGACTTGTCTTGCCATCAGTCAGGCAGGACTTTACATATAAATATTCTCTCCTAGGTTTCTATTCTTCACCTAGATATTTTAAATAATTTCTAAAAGCTGCTGCTGCTGCAAATGGGTATGCTAGTGCTGAACTAAACTTAACAACATTTGAAAACTTTAACCTTTGAAGCACTTGATAGCATTCCCAAATAACAGTGGATAAAATACGATGAACACATAGTCATAATTGAAAATAAATACTAAACAAATAAGTTTCATAGTGGGCATTGCCTCATTAGATGATGGGCTGGAACTTACTGCAACTGCAGAATCTGATTTTGATGACTGAAAGGACCGATTCCTCTTAAAGTGGTTTACAATGCTATAGATGTTAAAAATAATGCTTAATATTTGTGATTAATTTTTTGTAATTACTCAAACCAATAAATTTGTCAGAATTGATTTTTTGTAAATATTCAAATTTTCATGATTAATTAAATTTCTTCGTTTCTAATTATATTTGCTAATAATTTTAACATTATCATCAATTTCAGATTATAATTTCTAACCGAGAAAAAAGGCTAACAGAGGCAAATCTGGAAACTGCTATGGATATTTTACCACAATAACATTACATCTCATAATTTAAAGAATAGACTCACCTGAAACATGTAACTAAAATGCCTTCTTCTCACAGCCAAATGATATCATACTTGTCAAAATGCTTAAGCAGAATATGGCTCCAGTACTGTGGTTAGAAATTCTTAATGGTGCCCAGCATAGCAGAAATACATTTCTCGTAATAATAGGAGAAATTTCTGGGGAGGAATCTATTTCTTTAATATGTTAAGTTGAATAACATAAATAAATCATCAAGTTTCTAAGTAATATCCTAAAAATGCTGGGAGAAAAATATACAAGCATATATCTATGACATTGTAAAATCAAAAGAATGAACTCACAATTTCTGTTGTTTTTCTGATGATTTTTTTCTTTGTCCTTTTAGTAAATATGCTCTAGGGAATGTTGCCCAGGTACTTTCAAAAGCACTGGAAGCACAGACAAGAAGGATAATTGTTGAATAATGGGACTATTTTGCAGATGGTTGGGGTACTGGTATTTTAAGCTATTTGTTAATATGGAAAAATCTTGAACATTTCTGCGCTATAATTTTTTCATTCAGTAATGATCACACATCTTTAAAAATGATGGAAATGTTTATTCACATTACGACATAGTAAATATTTCTAAAACAATAATTACAACAATGATGTTTCAGATGCTTCTTACAGAGTAGCACTGGATAGGAATGCATAAACTTAAATGAACATTTTCTTTTTACATTACATTAAATAATAAGCACAGGTCAATCAATACTGCTGCAATATTTTTTTTTCCTTCCAGATTTTCACTCACAAAAATGCAAGTTTAAAAGACACTGGTAAATGCAATGCTAAAATTTTTAGGCCATACTTTTAATTCTAATGAGAGAACTTAGGGAAAAACAACACTGATATATTCACTAGTTTGTTAGCGAAACATTCAGCCCCTTAAACACTTTAACAAGGAAAATGACAACAATTTATATGCATGAGATCACACTTCAAAAATATAAAGGTCTCTAAAAATTAAAAAGTTTTCAAATTAAAGAACTTACTAGAATGCTTTAGGGAAAATTCATTTTAATTTACTTTTTATAAATAAATCTAGTCATTTTTATCAATGTCATAAAATCTGTCTCAATTAAGCAAATAAACTGATCCTTAAGTAACGAAAAAATTCACATATATCAACTAATAAATATAAAACTTATTGTCATATGGATTCTGATAAATGTGTACAAAATTCTCAAGAGCCTGGAAGTTAGCTTTTTTTTTCTTCTTTTTTATAAACCGGTAATTTTTATCTGATGGGCAACACTTAGCTAACATTAGAAGCTGATGATCTTTGCCTTTGATTTACACCACACATTTGAGCTTGCCTATCTTTTATGAGACTAGATTTTGTCAGTTTTTAATTTAACTTCAACTGACTACTGGGGGAAAAAATAAGATTAAGGCAATTTTATATGCTTGCATTAAATGCGCTACTTTTGAATAAATATACTGTGAATATAATTTAAACTCCAAATATTAATTATTCATATAATACAGAACTGAATAAGAAGTTCTTACATACAAAGATTTCCTGATCAGGGAGTTTTTTTCCCCCCCCATAGATCTGAAATAAAAATTTAAAAAAAAAAAAAAAATTAGTATATAAAGTTTCTTGATTAAGAAATCTAATTCTGTAATACCAAGAATGTATATTAGTCAATTTTACAATCATGAATATAAAAATTTCATTTTAAAAGTTTTACTTCCTTCCAAGCTAAGAATCTTTTAAATATACTGATATTCATTTTTCTTGCTATTTGATTATTAAGTTTATACACTGATTAAAAACTGCAATGAAGCAAATGGTCTCTGCTTAGATTTTAAAAATCAATGTTTCAGCATACAATTAAAAAATCAATGAGTCAATATGGCCTGAACATTAATATGCTGATTACGATTAAGTTAATTTGCCAATAAATATTCATCAAAACATACATACAAATTCAATAATACTCTTTTTTTAAAGGTGAAAAAAGGGGGTCTATGATTAATTTTTCATAACTCATAAAATAAAATCTTGATTCCCAAGTTAAACTACACAGAGACTGCAATATAATATATATATATATATCATTATTTATATTTTTAATACTAGATGAGCTGTTTTGTTTCGAAGATGTTAATTCTTCAATTAAGCTATTTAAAGTTTCAAATTCTGATTTGATAATGAGCATACAAGCTTAATTTTCATGAAGAAAATATTTAGCAGTCTTGATAATTCTAGGAAAACACTGAACAAAATAACACAAATTTTAAGCTAAGTCAAATCACATTCAGTCATAAGCAAATCTGCCCCTTACCAACATCCGGAGTGTCTACATATAACGGTCTACATATTTCTGCTGCTTACTGAACACTGTATCCTAGAAAAATGCTTGAACAAATCTATAAGGATCATGCTGATGAAATTACAATCAATTACTTCTACCAAAATCAAGATTTATTTATTTTAGATCATTGTAAAAACTTGAAGTTTAGCTGTTTTTCAAACTATTTGCTAACTTCTTATCACAGTTTAATACGTTTTCCTCATAATCAGTCATCTTATTTAAGAAGTTCTCAATTCTTTGGGTTTTTAGAAGAATCTTAATTTTTTACAATATACTGAAACTGAATGGTTTTCTATGCTTTCTCATTTTCATAATTCTGAACCATATATTAATGCATTTTTCTGGTTTTGAGAGCAATTATACAACTATCACAACTCTTACCATTTGAAAATGCATTTATAACAATATACACAACATTAAATTATTTTATTCATATGCTGTTTGAATAAACAGTATGCAAGTGAACTTACAGCTCTAAAATGCTTATTGTGCAATAAAAGAGTTTTTATTTCAAACGGCACAATGAACACTCAGATCTCCTGATTTATTTCATGAAAAGACAGTAAAAAGATAAAAAAAGATAACCCAGTAACTATGCAAGACCTAAATCCAATATTTGCAATTCAAGAAATTTCACATGTGATGTATATCTTGTTAATTTGCTTGTTCACAATTATACAGCCAGAAAAAGCATGCTGGGGGATTACACATACACACACTTTTTTTTAAGCTTTCCATAATTGTCAAATTATCCCCCTTTACCTATTACCACCAGCCTATGGGGGGGGACATTCAGGTGCAGCAAAAAAATACAGAAACATTTATCCCTGAGTGGCCAGTTCCTTGGAAACATCACAGTTGCCACTTTTAGTCAGGAATAAATTTTCTAAGCTATCTATTGTGCAAGAAAATCATACAGTTTTTACAAACTAAATAACAATTACTGATGTTAGAATTTTTTTAACGCTTTATGTTAACTGCGTTATCATTTTATAAATCACCCAACACATACAAAAAAAAAAAAAAAAAAAAGAGGCATATGCTCCTACACTACGTTTCTACACATTAAATAAATAAAAAAGAGGTCCCAAAATACTTTTATTTCACAGCAATAATATAGATATCCAAATATTTTTTTTGCTCAGTTAATTCAACACTTGAACATAATCAATCACTACCAATATTGATTACCATACCCCAATTTATTTTTATCCTGAAAACATAACAATTTTAACAGTGAAATTATGAAAATCCAACTAGAATATACATATATAAGTTTAAATTTCTTTTTTAAAATAATTCACAACATTTGGTTTTGAATTTTACTTTTTCCCTTGCCTATATGGATGACGAAACACGAATTGAGTAATTGAAAAGTTGGTTGAGGCAAATTCCCTGATAAGCTGTCTCCTGCCTGCTAACAATTTTCACTATGCAATTTACTATGGTCTTAAAATTCTTAAAAATTTTTTGAGATAAATCGTTGAATTTATTATTTTTTCATGTTTAAATATGTGCAATTATTGACATATGCTCTTTGAATTAAATGATATGTAAATAAGATCGCAGCATAATAATTTATTTTGCAATTTCAAATTCTAATTAATTTAAATTTATTAGCTCTACAATAGAGATATTTGTGAATTCAATTTCATTCCTTGCAGCAATGGCGCAAGAGAATTATTTAAATTAAATTTAACTTTATATATATATGAGCATGTGCGTAAAATTTAAAAAATAGACATAAAATAATTTTTAAAGTATTTTAAATTGTTGCTAAAGCTACTCAAAGCATTTAACATTATGTACACGAGGTATTGTTCTTGTATAACCTCTAGCAAGTAAATTCCCTTTAAAATAAAAAATGAGGATGTGTTAATTTTCAAAATTTATTAGCGTAATGATTTGTTAAAAAGTGTTCAAAAGAGCTCTAAAAAGCAAATATTTCAAAAAGAAGAAAAATTAATTAAGTATCCAAATTGTTCCTGCTAAATTAAATACATTTTTGGCCATTTTAAGCCATATAAATTCAAAGACGTTTAACCATCTAAAGCACTTCTCTGAAACTGATTTTTGAACATTTCTATCTATATACCATTGATAAAACAATTAGCTTCCACTCAGGATTTAATTAACATATAAACATCCTTTACAATTTCAGGTTTTCCAGTCTTTATTATAATGAAGGGGAATCTATCTTTGCAAAAATAAACAGAAAAGAATTAAGACTCAAAATATATATAGAATAATGAAAGAATAAAGCAAGAAAATAAAACTATCAAATAAAGAAGCAAGAAAACAAGACAACCAATGTAATACAATGAATTGTTATGAATAAATTTCAACCAAGATTATTACTAACCTCATAAGTTTTACTATTATACAGTACTCTCTTTTGTTTCACCATTGCATAACTCTTACAAATTAATGGCATGTCACAGTGCTAACCACAAATTTCAAAATAGTAACATGACTATTTGTTTCTAACTGTGTTTGGACTGCTGCAGGATAGAATTGGGGTAATTGCCAATAACTGCACACAAACGGCAAAAAGAGGAAAAGAGGAGATACATGGCAGTATCTTGAAATAAAGTGTCATATGGCTGAAAATGTGGCAGTTGCCAATAATGGTGCAAAGATGGTAGAGATAGGAAGAAGAGGAAACACATAACACTATTTTGACATCCAGTGTCATGTGTTTCCCCATGTCCTAAAGATGTATCAGTTTCAGTAATAATCTAGGGATGGTGGAGATGCAAGAGAGGGAGACATGCTACAATGCCTTGATATCCAATGTCGTGTCTCCTCACTGGATGATGTTATCAGCTTTGCATCATTATTGGCAATTCTTACATTTCCATCCCAGCTGTGGTCTAAAAACAATGAAAAATTTAGCAGTCATGCCATCACCTTGATTATTCAAGAAGCCAAAACAAACAAATAATATGGAAAAATAATGTCGTAGCATAAAAAAGAGCACTCTAAAATAATAAAATCTAACATCATTACTAAGAAACCATATTCAAATAAAACAGGGACTTATTTAGATGTTAAAAAGTCTGTTGATTTAAGCATGTAAAAAAGTGATATCTTATTAAATGCCAGAGAAAGCCTCTAAAATTTCTACTCTTACATTCCAGAAACAAATGCATTACCTGGTACAAATTCAGCAAAGAAAGGGGAAAGAAATTTGAATGTCTTTTACATTTATGAATGAAAGTGTTCAATGATTTAAAATTTTTAGCTTCTTAAACAACAAAAAATCATATTAAATAAGTTATTATTCAACATGAAAGGTACCTTTTCATATACAGTAAAACTAGGCCTAACCAAAAGGGTAACATATACAGATTTTGCAATGAAAGGGATTATTATCACTGTTTGTTTGCATGCAAAAACAGTGGGTGTCAAATCTTTTGTCTAACAACTTGAAATACGTAGTTTCACAGATAAATTACCTTAATTACATTTTTATTATGTTGAATGATTTTTCTCAAAGTGAATAAACTAGCAAAAATGGAAACATCAAATATTTTAATACATTATAAGAAAATCCTATAGCACATACAAAGAGAATTTTTGCTATCCAAGACATTGGAAGAAAAGTTGCCAAGACCCATTTATCTCTTTGTAAAAAAATTTAGCACATTTTATTATTACATATATGCGATTTAAATAAAAAATAATTTAAAAATGGTAGCTTATTTTATATGAATTTCATTAAAAAATAAGGTAAAAACTTATGTATGCAAATCTAAATCTTTTTTGTTTTGTTATGAAAAACACGATTGGACCCTGACCACAGGTTATATAGGGGGGAGAGGCTATTTTAAACTGTTTTCCCCAAAATAATTTAAGATAAATTGATGTCCACTGAAACTAGGGGGGAAAGCCATAAAATGACATACTAAGCAATTTTTCATGCCTGAATTTAAAAATAATCCTCAGGAATGAAGTAAAGTTAAATTTCAGTAAGCAGCTAAGAAGGCATTCACACATGAGCAGGAGTGCTTCCCTCCCAATAGGGATTTCTGTTGCATGGTTGGATGCAACTTCAATACTGTCATCAAGAAGTATTATGCAGTGGTTTAAGCTTGTCATTTGCATGTGCTGTCTTTGAGCGTGATGCCTCAGTCTATGGCGAAGCATTATTAAGTAAGAAATCTCAAGTCCAAAATTTTAACCAAAATCTACAGACAAAATGAAAAATAACAACAGTCATGCAAAAATAGGTGGGACATTTTGCCAAATCTCTGTTATAGTCCAAATTTAGCCCCAAATGTCATTTGAGAATGGTTATGCATCTAATCAAACAACTTCTCTGAAGAGGGAATTAAAAAGCTTTCAGAATACTGGGAAAGATACATTGCAGCAAAGGAGATTATTTCAAATTATTATTATTGCATGCCTTTGCAGATACATAATAACCACTTTATTTTTTAACTATCCCATTCATCCATAATATATCTGAAAGAATAAAATTTTTCATGAGTATGTTCATGAATAAAGCAAAATTGTGCAAACTAATTCAAAGACATCATAAAAAAAGGGGGGGACTGTTTCTGTTTAGTTCTTTCTCCCTACCCTTTTCAAATCGTGAAGAAAAAACTTAACAAGTGCCATACATAAATATGACAATGGCGATACAAAGATTTTTTGGAGGGTCAATACTTTAAAAAATTAGCTTCCAGGCTCTGCTACTACAGATAATCACTTCATATCTTTAAAAAAATTAAGTGATGCAAATAATGTACATAAAGTAATGTCACACAAAGAAAAACTACATGATAACAAAATAAATACAAGAAGGTTCTGGACATCGAATATGGTCCAAATCAACCGATGCCACATCTTGTGGGGGAACAAACTCATCTGTGACAGAAAGGTTGAAACACCATAGGCTCAAAGCTCTGTAACCACTTCATGCCACAAAATGTACTTTAGAATATATTCCTCAGAACTTAAGTGGTACAAAAAGCTTTTATATAACTTACTATTAAAATAGATCTATGCCAAATATAAACGGTGAAAATCATTAGCACCAAAGTTCGCATTGCATTTCGGGCATTTGCGCTGCCTCGTCTCGTACCGAGTTTTTAAACAGTCAAAACAGAACACATGGAAACATTTCGTGAGAACGGCATCTTTTCTTTTCACTTTACATGATGGGCAGGTCAACTGCTCCTGTAAGAAAAATTTACACACATCTAAATGTTACCAATAACAACAAATAATTATAATAATAAAAACACATATATATTGAGCTAAATTAAAGAAAAGGATTTTCATATATCAGGCACTTATTTTTTATTACAAATACGTATTAGAAAGATTACGAAACACAAACACAAAAAAAGCGGGGTAACAGAAATATAATCATTTTTGCTAGATATCACAGTTCTTGCTCATCAACAGGGCACAAAATTATTTTGAGATGCTTATGAGCAAACAATGTGATAAATAACCAAATTCAGGACTGTTGTTAAGCTCTGAAAATAAGAAGCTATGCTGGTTCAGCAACCAATTTCTAGAGCTATTAAACTATATTTATAACTGTCTTCCGAGCACGATTTTTCAATTACTTTAACTCTGCTGTACAGTTTCTATTCAAGATACACCTTTTACTGAAATTTAAATAATAATAGCTTTAAAAGGTGTTAATAAAATATTGTTCAAGTACTTCTCAAAGTAGCAGATATGGTAAAACCAGATATGCAGTAAACTTTGAAACAAATACAGAGAATGAATGCAATAAAAATTTCTAGACTTTTCATCATAATCAACCAACTGTACAGAATTTTTACTACTGGGAATTATAAAAAATATACTCATCAAACATTTATATTACCTTATATTCCCTAACTTCTTCCATTAAGACTTCGTCAGCTGTGGAAGCGAGTTCAAATTTCTTTCCCCTTTCCACTTTTCTTCTTAAACTAATGATTTCTTCCTGAAAATATGCACACACAGTTATCATTCAGTACTGTAGAATCATCAATACATTCACTCTTCAGCATAATAAATCTTGCACAAGAAAATACACGCTTCAGGTTTTTAAATTATTAATAATAATAAAAAATTCTGAAAACTAAATACTGTCAGTTTTTATGTGTCTGTGTAACTAAGTACTAAATACAATGGTTAATATTTTAATACCTGGAAGAAATAAATACAAGCCAAGTTAAAATTTAAAATTTAGGCAAAAAGGCATCAAAATCTGCACTAATTTAAGGCTGTGTTTTTTTGTTTGTTTAATGTTAAACATATACATTAACTGATAATTATACCTCTACAGATGAAAACAGTTTTGCAATAAATGCCTGCTCTATCGTAGCCATCATATATAACATCAGCAGAATGTTCAGTCTTGTTCTCTTTGCCTTGACTGCTCTATATTTCATTAGCTTTTCCAAGTTTTTTATAAATATTTTTCCTTTCCAATTTCTAAATTATGGTTCTTTGGAACTTGTCAATGATGGGATGGATATTTATACATTTTCCCCAGAATTATGGAATAATGCTAAAGGATTATATATATTTTTTTCATTTAAAAATGAATACACAGTTTTATTTCTTATACTGCAGGATGAATGACACATCAATTTAATAACTGAAAATATTTGTAATGTATGTAAATCATATTTCACTAATAATATAAATAAATTATATTTCAATGAGAATATTTTCATTATACAATATTTAAATATTAATGCAAATAATTACAATACATATTTACGAATACACATAAACATGTATTATAGACATTTGTAATGAGGTATCAGAGTATGGCTAATGAAAGATGCAAAGAAAATGCAAAGAAACAATTTTGGATTTCTCTTCTGACATTTTAGAGGTTTTAGATTCAGTAATTATTTATAATTACACAAATCTTACAAGTTACTGAAAATAAAAAAATTTTTAGCAGTATTATACCATCATAAACAATGCAAAATGAAATTATAGCTGAATTATTTACATATATGTAAGATATAAGATGATGGCTGCACTAAAGAACGATTGGCAACCTCATAATTAACTATTCTAAATTTGTTCTCCCCCTTAAATTCATATATTCTTCCAAATTTGATAACTTTCCATGTTACATAACAACCTACAATTAACCAATCGCAGCTCGGTTGCACTTCTGCATCTACTCAGTATAAATACTGCTTTGCAAGACAACTATACCATTCCTTTTCCTAACTTCTGCTCTGCCAATACCACACTGCTATTAGAATAGCAGTGTGGTATGCTGATGTCATACCTTTAAAAACCAGTGTACATAAAAACTATTATATTTAAATATGATTGGATAAATGTCTTGTCTACCAGAAAGTTATTTGACGTGAATTATCATAGAATAAACTTCTGTTTAGAAATGGCCATATCTGGAAGTTACTGGTTTTTGCATCTATCTACAGATGCAATGTTATACAACTAAAATACTACATATATATACATACTAAACCAACTAGCATTTAAAAAAAAGTGAATTTCATTGTTATTATTATATTCTATTTCATGGCACTTGCAGACATGCAGTAATGATGTCGAAAAATTAAACAGCACTGCTTGGATGTAAAATTATTTCTTTATTTCTGAATCTATCCATATATGAAGACCTTTTAACTAATCATAATACTTTAAAGAAAATATTAAATGCAATGTCATAGACAAAGTTTATGTTGAAGTTTGTATAATATCATCCTATTACACAGAAACTTATAATGAATACATAAAACAACCATTTATTAATTCAGCAGAATAACCTTTTGCTGAAGTAGTGGTTTTCACCTCACACATAAATCTTCTATACTTCAATAAATACAATGATTTCATAAATGATGGCATCAACATAAAGTGGCACTGATGCAGATAGAAAATAGCAACTGTCAAAGCTGACTATATATTTTATTTCTTTGTAATTCAAGTTAAGTACTACAAAGGGCAATAAGCATAACACATTAAATTACATAATATGTAAGATAAAATAATGATTTTAATTTGCAACAGTCTCTTAACTCTCCATTTTAATTGGGTTCTTCTCCCTTCCATAATAGTAACCATTTACTACAGTAAAATCAATGTTTTGTCAAGAAATAAAATAAGTGTTTTACTGGCCATGCTTGAAAATATCCCATTTTTCTGTTTAAAAATATTACACACATATTTATAGTGATGGATAATTTTTTAGGTTTAAAAATAAAACAAAATTTACTCGCATATTTCTCCTTTTCATGTATTTCATCCTTAGCATTTTCAGCATAACATTCAAAAACTTCTGATTTATGGAAACAATATACAGTGCATAGACAAATAGAAAGGTACATTTTATAAGCAAAAAAGAAAATTACTAAAATTAAAAACTTCACTTCTCTGAAATATCTAATCCACAATATTAGTATGCTGGATCGTTTCAGCAATCACTGCATAATTTACTCCTTATGATTTTTCAAGAGGCAAAATTGGTAAAAAAAAAGATAGGGAGGACATATAACTTTTAGTTAGGCCTTCCTCAACACATGAACATTACTTTATGGAGAAAGGCTAAAAAAGTGATGCCTCAGATTAGAGGTTCGAGGTTCTAAACCCGCGGGGAATTTCATAGTGTCAAGGGGAATGTGATCAGCCAAAAGGCTAAGCGGCATAGGGTAGGGCAAGGACATCTGTCCCCAGGCATAGCATCCAAGGGGTGCCAAACTGATGCTAGAAATTATAGAATGAAATGCTTTCCATTCTTGGAACACAGGAAGGGGCTCAAAATCTTTAGTTGACCCTGGATGCTGAAAACCTTAGCTAGGACTCTGAAAAGGCTATTAAGTATTCAGTTTTAGTTTATGAATATGAAAAACTGTTTTTACTCCAGTTTCAGTACTTATCACCCTTTTCTATATTTTTTCTTGTTTAATACAAAAAACACATTAGATAGTAATCTAGACTTAAATAAATGTATATGTACTTTTTGAAAGTTTTGGAAAGGAGAGGTAGGGATGATAAAATGGTGAAGCATCAAAATAAAAATTTGACATACATTTAGACAACAGTGTTAAATATTTTTAATGAAGCAACTTTTCAGATGAAGAAAACTATAAGAATATTTCACAGAAGAGAAAACTAAGTACGACTGGATAAAAAAATCCATTCCAAGTAATACGATAAATCAGAAACCTTGTAAATGAAGGAAAGGGAACAACTTGTCAATACATCAACAGATTCCATGCTAAAATCGAAATTTAAGCAATAGGAGCTCCTACATTTTTGGTTGCAAATTCATGGAGAACATTTAGAAATTTTTCACACAGCTATAAAATTTTAATGCCATTTGGAATAGTGTATTTAAGTGAAAATTCTTTCTTAACACATGTGGCAACAAAAAACAAGTATAGAAACAAATTAAATGCAGAATATGAAATGCAATTGCAAATAACATCAACAGAGACAGACTTTGACAGTTTACGTTAAAAAGTGCAAATGTACACAGTCATTAAACATAATGCAAGGGTAGGTGACACACGGATAACGAATTAATGCTATTAATGAGTAAATCACATTAATTTTTTGTTACAATTTTTTAACATGAAAATATTTTCTTTAATTGTCTTTACATAAAATACCTATACCATACTGAATCTACTTTAAATTATATGTTTAAGATATATTTTTTTAAGGGTAAGGATAGTGTTCTTCTCCCCCCCCAAAATAGTTCTAAGAGTTCTGTAAATCGACAAAGTTTGAAGACCACTGCTCTATAGCTTCTTAAAGAACGCAGTATTCATTACTAAAACATTGTTCAGAATAAAACAAAACAAAAAGCAATAAAGCAAAATTTATGAATACAAACCTGGAGGCGTTTCGTTTTAAAAGCTTCTTGCTGAACAGCACTCGTCTTTTCAGCTACAGTCGTCTGAACTTCTTTGAGATGTGATAGATATTTTTCTAGATGCAATCTCAAGTCAGCAGAAGACTGTGCACTTTCTATTGACTTACGTTTTTGCATTTCAGATGACTGCTGTCTTAAACTATAAAAATAATAAAATTTTCTTGCAAAATTGATTCATTATATTGAAAATGCAAAAAATTTCTTTAGTATCATTGCCAGTTTGAAAAAAGGAATAAATCTAAAAGTTCATTTTTCAGGAAAAGAAGAAAAATATTTTAACTTCCTGCTCCTTCCTCCCCTCAATCTCCTTTAAAGAATAAATGTTTTACCAAATGGAATGTTTGCTCTTCAATAACTCCATAAAAATTTACATACAGGGTTTCTTCCTGAAAATAACCAAACTGACAGTTGCATATTTAGTTTATCGAAAATGTATAACTCTTTGTGCAGTCACTCACAAGCACTCCCAGCAATGCTTTCTAGACGGTATGGTATGCTTTCCAGAAGTACTGTTTCAGGATAACACATAGGTTTCTCATCACAACTTTTTATGATAGCTTTAACAATCATGACCTGTTCTTGTGTTTCTTTTCAGTTGGGGAACAAAAGAAGTTGCAGGGAAACTGATTGGGGTTGTATGGCCGATACAACATTTACATTTTGTTCTTGAGTCTGATGCTTGATCGAACGCTACAATGCCTGCATGATATGCTACAGTCAAGATGGTTACATACAGGACAAACCCTAAATATACAATTCCACCTCCATAATGTTGAATTTGTTTTGATAATTCTATGTTTTATTTTGAGAAATCTTGTAACTGAAAGTACACGTATGAAACACAAAAAACACAGTGGGAGTTTACACATATTTAGAATAATTTTGGGGGCATATTTAAAATGAATTAGAAGATGTAAAAAGGGGTCATATGATCTTTAATTTTTCTTTCAAAAATGAGATTAATGGTTGGAATGCATCACTATACACCAAGCTTCACAAGTTGAGTAAAAATCAGGCTCTCAGCGCAATGCTTAGGGTGTGAAATTGGAGGTCGTAATTTGCAGATGCTATTAAAAAGGGACATGTGCACACTCACAAGATACGAGGGCAATCTCAAAAAAAAAAAAAAAAAAAAAAAAAAAAAAAGTCTCCTATTTTTTGGGGACGTAGAGAAAGTTTTAATACGGTTGTTGGCAACACTGTTGTGAGTGGTGCCTTCTCCGCTACCACATAAGCACGCAGGCACTTCACTAGGATGCTCAGTCTTGGCTTGGCAGCCATTTGAAATGGAGTTCCCGATAAACGTTACCGCCAAGTTCTAAGCCGTGCATGGATGTCAAAAACATTCACAAGTGGTGTAGAGATTTTACAGGCGGTCATACTCAAATTCATGATGAAGAAAGGAGCGGGAGGCCCTCAATTGCCGGCGAGACAATCACGAAAGTTGAGGAACTCATGCGTAAAGATCGAAGGATCACTCTGGATGCTCTCTGCATTTTGGTTCCTGAGGTTTCCAGAAGCACCATCCACAGGATTTTAACGGAAAAGTTGCAATATCGGAAGGCGTGTGCAAGATGGGTGCCGCATATGCTGACAGAAGACCACAAACGGCAACGGGTTGACATTTGTCTGGACGACAGTTCTGCTCCAATGATGAGATGAAAGATGAGGTTTAACGCTTCCTGAAGGGCATGGCGGCAAGCTGGTATGACATGGGCATTGTAAAACTGCCACAGCGTCTACAAAAATACATCGACCGAAATGGCGATTATGTTGAAAAATAAAGCGTTCATCAATCTTTAAAGTGATGTAGCAATTATAGAAAATTTCTTTCTTTCTTTCTTTGTATATCTAAAAACATAGGAGACCTTTTTTTTGGGATTGCCCTCGTATATTTTTACATTGTATTTGGTAGCTCATCAGAGCTATGTGCCTTAATGGACATGTTCATTAGTCTGCAATCTGTGTTCTCATTGGCTGGTTATTTACGTCACAAGTACCCATTTCTAGCTAGCTAAAGGAGCTGTTTCCATTAACTTATAATGGATTCTTTTAAACCAAATGAAAGCTATGAGGGCAAAAATGGCAAAATAATCAATACTTTTTTCAAGAGGAATGTAATAATTAGTGCAAAGAGGACCGAAGCTACATAATCCATGCTGATAAGAATTTTTATGTACAGGAATAATTGTAATGTGGGTAATAATAAAATAGTTTGCTTCCTCCACGATTTTCATAAAATTAACATCTCACTGGAACTGTCACATTTGAAATATGTAAATTTCACATTTGGCAGTTCTAGAAGTATATATGTGTTTTTTTGAATAGAAAAATCTTTAATTTACGCATTTTCAATTAGGACCATTTATGGATTGTTTTTTCCTTTCACGGATTCCATATAACTGGCATAAGTAGTGATGGGCAACTTCGGTACTTTCTTGTACCCGGTACGAGAGTAAAGGGTACAGACAAGTACCCGGTACAAAATACCCGTTACTTTGAAAAGTACCGAAAACCGATTTCAAGTACGGAGTACCGAAGTAACGAAATATAGGAGTAACGGTTTGCTGTACCGGAGTACCCTAGTAACGGTTTGGAGTACCAAAGTGCCCTAGTAATGATTTGAAGTACCGAAATACGCAGCTAACTATTTTTTGCACTGAACTCTGCCATGTCACCACGTGTTTGATTTGATCTGTACGGAGTAAGATTTTGAATATCAGAAAACATGTCAACTACGGAAGTGTCTGAGGAGCAGACCATTCATGGACACAAGGAGCGCATATCACCATTTCACAAATACAACCAGATACTACTGTCCTCGTACCAAAACCGAAGTGAGCTGAACCCTCATCGATCCTCCAGTAACAAATACCGAAATACCGAGAAGAGACGCATGTTTTGGTTACAAAGTAGCGAATACCGAAAAGCACCCGTTTCGGTACAGAAGTAACGAATACCGAAAAGTACCCGTTTCGGTACAGAAGTAGCGAATACCAGAAAGTACCCGTTTCAGTACAGAAGTAACGAATACTGAAAAGTACCGATTTCGGTACAGAAGTAACGGGTACTTGGATGTACCGATTTTAAGTACCCGATTTACAAAATACCCGGTTCGGTAGTACCGACTCATCACTAGGCATAAGTGACTGGTACAGACCACAGTAAATACTCTATAGACCTTGGGTGTTAATACAAGAATAATTGAAAGCCTTTTTCCAAAAGATAATCAGTACAATTAAGGTAAACTTTAAGTATGGGTTTGTTGCCACTCTTTTAACTGCATAGTTTCTATTATAAAGTGCTTTTGTGATAGCTTTAACAATCATGAACTGTTCTCGTGTTTCTTTTCAGTTGGGGAATAAAAGAAGTTGCAGCGAAACTGATTGCGGTTGTATGGCTGAGACAAAGTTTACATTTTGTTCTTGAGGCTGATGCTTGTTTGAACACTACTTTTTTTCTCATGGCACATCACCTGCATAAAGTTTCACTACATTCATGATTCTTTCACTCCAATACTCAGAGCAAACAGTGACTGACTGCGATACATTGCTCATACATCCCACTACAAGTTCCCCAGCCACAATACCTGCATAATACGCTACTGTCAAGCTGGTTACGTACAGGACAAGCCCTAAATATACAATTCCCCCCCATAATGTTGAAATTTTTTTGATAATTCTCTGTTTTATTTTGAGAAATCTTGTCACTGAAAGTGCACATATGAAACCAACACAAAAAACAGAGAGGGAGTTTACACATATTTAGAATTTTCTGGTCTGAGAGCCGTTTTTTTGGACTATAAGTCTGCATCATGATTTCCATTATACAAGGGCTTTTAGTAAAATTACCAGAGGTATTTTCATCCCTTATACACTATTTTTTTGAGTCTATCAGTTGTGGCAGATTTACACTTAGAAAAAGCTCATTTCAAGAGACCAAAGGTACAACGAGATTAAAAGTGAAATGTCAGGGAACTTAGCAGGACTATGTTGAAAAGATTTATATGTAATGCCTGTATCAGTTTTACTTTTCTCAATGAGCATAGAGGTACTTTTCAAAGCATGATTTGAAGAAGTTCAATTCTCTGATAATCAGTGGTATAAAGAAACAGAATTTCTTCAGTTAATATGGGACATAAAACTTTCTCTTGATAGTACACTGAGCTGATTTTAACGTTTACCACCTTCTTATTTTTAATTTCCCATTGTATGAGAATCCTGCGACAATCATTAACCAACTTACTGAAACTTTCTTTCCATTGATGCAACCAGGTTTGTATACTTTTTCTCTTTGGTTTTGATCATAAATAGACCATTCTTTGTTGCAGTCATTTAGATAAACCCATGCTTTATCAAGGGTCACAACGCAACTCCATTTATCTCCTGCGAAACAATTTTCTTAAAGTTCCACAAATTGTTCTGCATTGAACCACATGTCTTGGCAGAAGCTGGCTTATATTATGTTTTTTTTTTAGCTTTTTTAAGTTGTAAATATTAGTTTATTATTTTATATATAGTTGCTACAAATATATTTAAAGACTTTGCAACTGATTTCTGCATCGGTGGATTTTCTCTTGTTACCAATGGTTTAATTTTAGAAACAGTACATACTGTTTTTGAGTATTTGTTTCGAGTCTTCTTTCTGCATACAAGTAATGACCAATTGTCTTCCCCTTTATGATTAAAAAGGTTGCTTATTCCAAAACATTCACTTTTTAAAATTTTTTCATTGAAATTGTTCTAAAAATGTGTAAACACTCTCTATAAAATTTAAAGCCACTTTTCTGAAACTCTGCATAAACTAGTGGGATTTCAATAAAACATAAAGTGGAAAGGTCTGCAATCTGAAAACTACAAATCACAGATTAACACATTAACAAAAAAAAAAAAAAAAAAAAAAAAAAAAAAAAAGAAGAGAAAGAAGGGAATTAAAAAAATAATTTTTTTTTAAATGTGCAACAAAAAAATTATAAAAAATTATTTCTGGGTCAATTAGCATATGGCACGAAAAACATCCTTTATTAGAAGAAAGCTGCGAATTATTTTCAGTTGTACACATTACAAATTAAATGCATTTTAAATTGCATCAATTAGATATATACCTGAGGAAATAAAGATTTACATGATCAGGAAGTGCCTTAGTTGCTTTTAAATTGCCTAGTTTGTAAAGTAAATGCAGATCCATTATATTTGAAAGATAAATTAAAGATGTCTTGATTATATTTTCCCATAAATTTTCAGTTGTACACATTACAAATTAAATGCATTTTAAATTGCATCAATTACATATATAACTGAGGAAATAAAGATTTACATGATCAGGAAGTGCCTTAGTTGCTTTTAAATTGCCCAGTTTGTAAAGTAAATGCAGATTCATTAAATTTGAAAGATAAAGTAAAGATCTATTGATTATATCCAAGGTTATGCATCTTTGATTATATCCAAGGCAATTTGTAAAGTAATTGCAGATTCATTAAATTTGAAAGATAAATTAAAGATCATTTGATTATATCCAAGGCTATGCATGATGGCAATGGAAGATAAATTAAAAATTAAGTTTTGAATACTGACAACACTTTCTACGGCATGCAGATAAATGTTACTTTCAGATTCATTCCATTTTTCCCCTACCAGTTTCTGAGCCATTATTAAACTATACATTTATTCTGCTAAGATGTGGATTTACATATAACATCAGATTACAGGCAACCACCACAAAGAAGTCTAATATAATATAAACATTCTCAAATTAAGAGGGATAACTAAAGCTTCATCATTCTAAAAATCTTAAAACATTTAAAATTTTTTTGCTTCTACGCACTGCTCACAATATCTAGAAAAGTTATCAAACCATTATGATGGTAAGGACACTGGCTGTTATAGTCTTGGACATGAATTCAAATGAAAGAAAAGGCTTGGATGCTTGTAATAGTACAGTGTCTTTGCAGCATGGGGGAATTTAAAATACTGTTGATTAAGTTCTCTCGAGAAGATCATGTTACTAGAATATGGGTGGGAGACACTATCCCCCAGCATGTTTTCTTTCAAAACTGGGAGATGGAGCTTCCCCTTTTTCGACATAATTCTATCTTTCCCCCCCCAAACAGTAGCCACTGACAAAATTTTTGCAAGTGTCCGACCTTTTGAAACAACAACAACAATTAACATTTTATACAATTTGAGACAGTGTAGAAAGAAAGTGAATATATGCAAACTCAAAATCCAAATTAATATTAATTTTCAAGAAATTAAAAAGCAAGAAGATTATTATAGTTCAATAAACATAAAAAGAGATAAATCTTTAAGTTGTCCAGAATATCATCTAAATAATCTACAGATATTTGAACAGTGAAATAAGAACAGTTAATAAAATAATGTGTGTAGTTGCCAGATAATAAAAGCTAAACCTTCACTGTTAAATGAAATAGAAGCTCAATTTCATCTTTAAACATTCAAGCATTTATTTCTTCATTTCTCTTTTGAACAAACAGAATATGACAAAATATTAAAAACATATGTTACTGTCTGAACAAAATTAAAACAAAAGAAACAAATGAGAAGGCTTGCAAACCAATCTACACATGAAGTTAACAAAACAGCTGATTGCTGTTTTTATTTATGACAATCATTTTAACTTGTTTTATGATACTCAGTCGTAAATATCATTTGCTGTGTAAATTTCATTAAGAAGTTCAGATAACATGACAATTTAATTATCTGAACTTCATTAAGATAATTAATTAAGTTCATTAATGAAGTTCAGATAATTAACTTCAGCTGCATTAAGAATATTCTATATTATCAAAGATAAATGAAATACCTATGTATTGCTCTATTGGCAATAACACCCATTTACAATAAAATATTTTTCCTAAACTGAAGAAAGTAACGCCTTTTTTGAAAGAGTTAAAAATAATACACCTTTTTAAAATCTCTACATAACAACATGAAAATAAACATATTAATTATGAGTAATTAATCAACAACTGCGAGGAATATGAGAACCATTACCTAAGCTCCTTTTCAACAGTAGCAACATTGGTCTGAAGCAATCGTTCCTTTTCTTCCAGTTTTCTTACAACCTGATTTTGGGCATCTACTTGATTTTTTAGTGTTATTACTTGCTCGGTTAACATGCTCTTTTCTTCTCTGAGAAGCTTATGGATCTGGTTAGATTTTATCCTCTGAAGGAAAAAGTAAATAATTACATAAAATATTTCATACTGAAAACTTGATATTGCACACTTAGAAATTTTGCCAATAAAAAAAATATTAAACAAGAAATCTGCAATATGAAAATTTTCTGTTACAGACTAATACATCAAGAATGGGTTTACCATTCAAAATTCACAAAAAATATTTAAAATATATAAATCATTATTAAAAGCTAAAAAAGAAAAAAAGCTCTGTTTCAGTTACATAACCCGGAGCATCCATAAACAGGAATTTGATTAATTACAACTTGCACAAATGTAAATTATTAAATACAATATATTCAATGTATTTTATTTTATATCAATGTACTTTACTAAAAAAAGGTAATGTAGAGATTTAAATAACCAAGAACTTTTTTTTTTCTTTTTAAATCACTCATTCTTATAAACCATTGTGGTCCAACCCGCGGCCCACATGCGGACCTCTTATTCATTTTGTTGGCACTTTCCCTTCTTTAACGGAAAAAAATGCTAGGTAAATATTTGAAAAAACAAAAGACCCTTCTTACTGCTTTAAATAATAAATAACAAACATAAACAATTATATTAAATATAATAATTAAAATAATAAAAATTATAAGGCTCAGACAATGAAAACTGTTTTAAATACTGTAAATTTAATAAGGGGAGGCAAAGCCCAGAGACGCAGCATATTTATTGCATTTGTGGACAATTTGGATGCTAAGTATAGTGACATTTCATTGTACTCTCAAGTGCACTGGCTAAGTGCTGGAAATTGTCTGTAACAGTTTTGTAAACTAACTAACAGTATTGTAAACTAACTTTTTCAACTACTACCAACTCCTCCTTTGATGCTGTTTTTATCTTATTTGTTGACATAGCAAACTGTAATAAAGATATCAGGAAGCTAAATCAGACAAATAGGTAAGATATGGAAATTATCTAGTCATATTTCCCAATAAAATATCATCTTGGTATGCAAACATACTGCTACAGAGAAAGAAAGTATCATTGTCTGGAACAGAAAATCCTACACTACATGATAACTTGTGCTTCTCAAAATTTTCTTTTTTTTTAAGGACATGGGAATAGTTTTTAAATCAATGATGGCATTTTAAACATGACAAACATTTTTAAATACTGTCAGGTATGATTCTGGAGTGTTAAAAAACTGCTTAATTAGCAAAACTTACCTCAGACATGAGTTTAAAGTTTGCATCATCTTTTTCCCGCAATTGCTGGATGAGACGCAAATTTTGCTCTTGCATATCTTCAAAGGCTTGACCAGTTATATCCATTTCATTTAGCAAGGCTTCTTCTTCCTTTAAAAATAAAATTATTTAAGCCACATTTTCCTCCTCTCTTTAATATTAGTGCAAACATTCTAATAGTATACCAAAAGCTTTAAAAATAACATTTCTACCAAACTGAAAATAATAAATCACACTAATAAAAATTTCAGTACTCAAATTTTCATCAATTTCTTCATTTGTTACACCAAATTCTTCACTTATGAATCAAATGGAGCTTCAGTTATCCATCAACTTCAAGATCATTATCGTGACAGATAAGAACATAGAAACTCCTCCCACCACCTTCTAATAAAGATAGTTGATATTGAAGACCTCTTTTTAAACATAATAAACTTTACAGTATGAACATCACATTTAGAATTGAAAATTCACACTATAGCTCCTTAGTTTGCTTATTATTAACTAATATAGTAGAACCCAGACTCACTGGACAGAAGACAGTTCACGAAATACTTTTTTGAGACAAAATGTGGTCCAACTTATTTTCATAAAATAATGAAACAGTTCATTTTGTGAATACACACCATTTGACAGTCACCTACAAGTAAAATCACCTCAGATACATGCAAAACAGTTTATCTGATAACTGTTGTTTACATGACTCTTGCTAAGTAACAAAGAATTACTCCCAGTTTATATTTGAGTAAATACAACCTAAAAAACTGTATTCATTTTAATCATATTTTCTACATATTTTAGTTTTATTATTATTTTTTAAAAATTTTAATTAAGTATTGCATACATTAAATTTAATTTTAGCAAATTTCATAGTTATCCAGGTACAGAAAATCCTCTCTAAGATAACCACCGTGGAAAAAGTCATTTTAGAAAAGTAATGGAAATTTATACTAAAGGTGGTTGCCATAAGAGGTCTCATTAAATATATATTTAAAAAATGCATATACTTCATATATTTAAAAATATTTATAGACTTTCTAACTCAAAATGTACTAATTAGATAAATTCAATGCTTACGTATTTTATTAATTGTATTTTTAAATTATTAATGCTTATTAAAGTTTTTATTTGTCCATTTAAAATGACGATATTAAACGTGAAAAAGCAATATTGTACAGTTATTATTTTGAAAACAACATTTAGCCAACCATTTCTTAAAGCAGCAGCAGCATTAAATCAGGATTTATAGTTTAGAAGAAAAATATTATGGGATAGTAAAGCTAATGGGTAAGTACCTATTGACAATATTGTCTTTTCAAACACACATGGCAGAAATGTTAATTCAACAAACCCTTTTACTTCTACTTTTATTGACTTCATATAAAAAAAAATAATATGTAGCATTAATTACTGAAGTACAATGAAATCTCTCTTAGGAGATATAATGCAAAGATAATCCCCTCTAAACTCACTCAGCATTTCTAGAAATAAACACTGGTACTGAAAACTAATAAAAGCTGCATTTTTTAAAACCTCTCGAAAAGACAGTGTAAGAAACCCCCGCCGATTACTTTAAGGTGGCTTCAGATTATTATTAAATATGCATTAATATTCAAATAATCATTTTAGACTAATATATCAATCCACACAGAGAAGAAATAGACCAATTTTAAAAATATACAATTAGGTTCGAAGGAACCTAATTATACATGGAATCAGATTCATTCTTGAAAATCTGGAACAGATTTTATATAATAACTCTACCAGCCCAATTTTGAAAGCAACTGAGGCAATCCCATTTCACACATCCTCCATTTAAATCAGTTAAGTAAGATTAGAAGTCTTATAGCCAATAAAAATAATCAAAGTTGGAACCTTACGTGCAATGTTTAGTTTCAATACAATTAACTAAATTTATTCATTCTTGGAGCTATCTATATTGATTGGAAATTGCCTAATATTATTCAATAAAATTATCCAATTTGATTTTGGTTCCAATAAACTACCTAAAAAAAATCTTCAGCCAGTGAACTGGATTCTCTTGAAACCTTCAACATTTAATACAAATCTATCTATCTAGTTAATGACATTAATTCCACTCCAGTTTTCCCCACAGCTTTCATAATTCCCATACCTTAATCTTCATTTTTACTTCCTTGTATGAAGTAAAAGTAGTACTGTAATCAAGAAAAGTTTTGGTGGTAAAATCCATTTCAACCATTCCCAAATTCATTTGGACAATTTTTTTGTGTGACATCTGTACAAACAACCAGAATAAAGGACTTTTTCTTTTCAAAATGGATTGTAGGAATCAAGAACCTGAAGAGGAGGTATATCCAAGTATACTAAATTTCTTGAAACAATTACAAAAAAGATGAGAATTAAATCTATTTTCTGCTCATAGACAAGGCAACCAGACCAAAGTGAACATACGTTTTTAAAACTTAAACATTAGCAAGGCCTGGTGAACGAATTTCCACACTTTGGGCAGAAGATGCATCTTGTTCCCTCTTAATTTAGTATTAGAACAATAAAAATACACAACCTTTTAAACATTTAAAGCACCCATTTAAACATAGCTGAGATGTCCTCTGATGGGCATCAAATATGAATACTGCTCTTTCAGACACTGATATCTACAGAGTACCAAAATCACATCTGAAAGGATTCATTGTAGCTCAGAAGTTTACTATGTTTTACAAAGAAACAATTATGTCTCAGAAATAAAGACACGAGTTCTTTCTAAATATAGATCTAATACATTGGATTATCCATGAAAAGTAGTGGATAAGAAATGATGTTAAATGCTAACTTCAGGCAAAAAAAAAAAAAAAAAAAAAAGTTTGTTTGTTAGAAGTTAAAAATGCAGATACAGCCTATAGAAAAATATGCAAATATAGCCTCAAGGAAAATGTCTTCAAGCAGAGCATCTAAGAAGCATCTTTCTTAAAAGCATTAACTATAATTCACAAAATTCACTCTAAAATTTTGTAAATGGCTTATTAGCCTGCCGAAAGTATGAAAAAAAAGTCAGAATGGAAGATAAATAAAAAAGGATATCCTATCCAATATCTTTACTATGCATTTCTAAGGGGGGAAAAAGAAATTACATGAGGATACTGTAAAACATTTTAATATACAATATAAAGCTGAACAGAAAAACAACCTTAAAACACCAGAGATTTAAAATTATGTACCTGTTTTTGGGAAGCTAAATTTTTCTGTAAAGATTGTAACTGGTCTTCTAAAATTTTAATTTTTTTCAAAGCTTCCTCATCGGCCAACTTCCGTCGTTCTTTTCTTTCATTGTCTTGATTCCTTTTGATCTGATTACGTAATTCTTCCACTTCAGCTCGTGCTTTTTTCTCTGCAGCCATTAACTAGGGAGGAAGGGAGATATTTGAAATTTCTTCATTATGTCAGAAAAGAAGAATTATATAAGAATACCATTAGATACTTTTATAACCAATATAAAATATGAGGAAAAACAACCTTAAAAGGGCAGAGATTTTAGATAAACAGGGTTTGTACACACTTTTGCACATAGAAATTTTATGGTACCTTAAGTACTTTTTTAACGACAAAATTTAAAAACTTATCAAGCAAATAGGAACTGAATAAACTAAAACAATTATGTACATCCATACTTCACTTTTGTAATTTGTAAGTCTAAAATAAATCTTTAAGTAGGATGCATTATTATTAAACAGAATGCAATATTTAAGTTAGTTATAAAACAAATTCAAAAATAAAATTAATTTCACAAACACTTTTCAAGTAATTAGCATTTAATTATAAAATTTCTTGAAACATTTATATTTTACACTTATTAATAGTCCCACATATTTTAAAGAAGCTTAATGGTTAATCTTACTAACAGTTATAATATATAATTTATATCTTACTATCAGTTAGCTTTATGATGATTCTTTCTTTTATGCCTCATTTCATCACATACTCCACCAGTCCAGAGACATATATACAGATTTTATGTCAAGTGGCATTAAGTTAAATTGCAAAGTTAAAATAATAATCAGACAGGGTTCGTACACATTTCTACACATGGAAATTAAGTACTTTTAAGGACTTTTAAGGACCATTAATGAAAAAATTAAGGACCTATGAGCAAATAGCAAATTAATAAATTCAGTTAAAAATATTATCTATGCCTGAACTTTACTTTTGTAATACATCCAAAAAATAAAAAATAGATCCCTAAGTAGAATGCATTATTATTAAACATAACTTACTTAACATAATTATTAGTAAGTTTGAGTATAAAATATACTTTATGAAATTTATCAAACGGCATTAAATATTTTACACTTATAATAGTTCAGCATATTTGAAAGAAGATAAGTAACATTTTATTTATGTTTTACTAATAGTTATAGTTTCATGTTGGATTTTTTATGTCTTGCTCAATCTAGAGGTTTAGTAAATAGCTAGTTAGATTTTATGTGAAGCGTCATAGGTTAAAATGAGAAGTAAAATCATAATAAGAATGATTTATAACAAAAGACTGGCTGTTGTCACCGCTGCTCCTTGCCTAAAGAGAGACCTGCAGACCAGAACAAAACTGAAAGGCCTGATGTGGGCACGGTTAGCTAGTTTTTAAAGTTAGTTGGGCTCTGTCTGTTGCAGTTAGTGCTGTAACTCCGTGTAGAGTTCCAGGGATTAAGATCCAGTTAATATACTTTAAGGTATCGTAGCTCCGTGTAGAATTCCAGGAGATGTAATACAGTTAATATACTTTAAGGTTCCAATAAGCCACTAAAGCACAAGAGGTGACACTAAGCTGCTTTGCATTATTTTAGGTCTCACTAGATACAAAGAATAAGTTTTACATGAATTTTTAGATTTTTGTGTTTTACCTTGTACCATGCTAAGAAATAATGAAAGGCAATAACTCCCTTTAAAATGCACAGATAATTTTTAATGGTAAGCAGTTAGTTATAAATTAAATTAGATAGTTAGATAACCTTAGTCATTATGAATTTACAGGACCACTATTAAATTTTACCTATTTTTTAACAATACTGTTAAAAGTCCCTTAATAGGGACTTTTAACAGTAATAACAATCTAATAAAATTTCACACTTTAAAATACATGAAATTTATGTCATTTATTCTTCAACGATATTAGGATAATTATACATTAAAATCTACAAAACATTTATGTTTTATAGCAACAACACTCAACAAAATATTTATGCTTCTTTTTAATTTGAAGCCTGGCCAGACATTTTGGCTAATTTATATAAATTTTCTTCTCTTTAAGCATCTTTACTAAGAATTAGAAATTTCTCTCAATATGCAAACCAATGTTCTCATTAGTTTCTGCAAGCTTTATCTCCAAACTGTCAACCTCTTCACAATGTACCTATGATGGTTTACTTGATCTGGTAAAAGTTAAATAGTCCAAAAACTCCCGACAAACGAAAAGCAAATTATCGCTATATCTCAAAGTAACTACAAAGACAAAGGTTTAAATAAGCCTCTTATTTAAAAAGAACTTAAAAGGTATGTTTTTATGCTAACCAAATCAATTAAAGTTTGGGGTGATGTAATTAAACAAGAACAATCAAATTCAAACAAAAAAATGTGGACTAGTGGTCAAAGACTATACAATTTAATTTAATTTTAAGCTGGCTCAGTAACTCTACTATCATAACAAATTCAAATGTCGGCAGCAGTAATGCAAAGATGAATAATTACAAATTATCAGAGCCGGCAGGAACTAAAGCAAGGAGCAAGTGGAGGTCAGAAACACACTCGTCTTACACTCCAAACACCTCAGTTTAAAAAAGGCCTAGGTGATTCCCATTCTGGGGAAAAAATACAAATGGGAAATTATAGTAAAAGCTGAAATTGTAAACAACCGGGTAATTTACATAATAATAACTGTACATATCTTTGAAGAATAATTTTTTATATTCAGTTTCTTTTGTCTACATTTTCTTTTCATTTTAGAATTTTTGGATTTAATTAAATATTTCTGTTATTCTAAAAAAACTAAATGCATTTAAATGTAGAGAAAAAGCTGCTAATTTTATTTCTTTAGTAATATTAGTTAGCTATTCACAAGAGATATGAAATATACTATATGGTAAGAGCCGGTTACAGAGCTGGTGTGGCAGAATTTTTAGAATTTAGTGACACACCCAGCAACAAAAAGTAGAAATGGCAAAACTTTTAGAATTTAGAGCAGGCACTGGAAGCAGAATTTAGAAAGGCACTAGTCAGCAAAATTTAGGATCTACACAGAGAGGTTTAATATTCCACGTGACTCCACTAGGTGGGAAAATGCTTAGCGTCAGACCAGTGTATGATGCATTAAGACATATTAGATGAATCCTTTAAATTGCCAGTTTTCAATTTCTTTATCAATAAAAAAAATTCCTTTCTATAATACCTGTCCACATGATAAGATTAGAAACATTTTTAATATTTTCCATACTTGTGTCTAGTGAAAAGTACAGAAAATAAAGGGAAGATAAGCATCTTAAAAGAAGATTCTACTATCAGAAGTAAAACATTCAAATATTATGTTTTCATTACTCTTCCAGATGTTATCCAAAATTAAGAAATTAATTGCAAACTTTCTGTAAAATACATCCATTACGTGTTAATACCATAGCGACATTTTTCAGTTTGTCACATATTTCTAAAATCTTATGGAATCGTGGGTCTATAAATCTTGCAATAAAATCCTTCTAAACTTTCCAAGTTGCATCCTTCTGTTGGCATGTCTAATGTCCCGAAGAAAAATTACCCTTACCAGTTTTGTAACAGTAAACAGCCAGAAATATCTTTGAGAGGGAAAAAAAAAAAAAAAAAAAAAAAAAAAAAGTGTGAAAAGTGTGAAATTAATTAATTAATTTTATAGAGAAAACTGATGCATATTCTGAGAATTTGGAATACTCTGAGACAATTACATGAGAGAAAACTCTTATCATGAAAAATTGAAAAGATATTTTAAAATTAATATGTTACTTTTTAAATATAATTTCAATATAATAACATTATTTTAATGAAATTTATCAATGTTAGAATGTTTAATAAAATCGTCGAAAAATTCCCAGCTCTTGGAATTTAAAATTTTCTATAGAAACTGATCTTAAAAAAATCGCCAAAATGTTGATAAGTCAACTTAGATCCGTTCAATAAAAGAATTCACATCCCCAAAAGCGAAAAATTGTTTAAGAGCGCTTCATTAGAAAAAGTGAAATAATTTTAATTACTTGTTTCACTTCTTGCTCAGAAACTCGAGTATCCCACCATTTATATTAGAAATAGGAACAAATCATAACCCATTCAAATAACCATATTTATCAGTGAATCGCCAAAAATATACCTCCAAACTGCTAATTCACACTCAAAATGGCAGTCGTAAAAACAGACAGAAATTTCACATGATTAAAATTAAGGACCTTCTGCCGATTTTGTCCAAAATTAAGGACTTTTAAGGACCAAAAATCAATTCCAAAAAACTTAAGGACTTTTAAGGACTCTTAAGGACTGTACGAACCCTGTCAGAGTGACTCATAACAGAAGTATCGGTGCTGCCACTGCAGCTGCTTGCTTGGAGACAGAGAGCCACCGACCAGAACAGACATGAACACCTGTTGCTGGTATGGTTGGTAAATGTTGAAAGTTAAGTGCACTTTGCCCGACACAGTTAGCATTGTAATTCTGTGTAGATTTGCTTAAGTTGTAACCCAGTTAATACATAATATTGGATATAAAGTTCCAATAAGCCACTGAAGCACCAGAGATGATAGGTTGTTTTGTATTATTTTAAGTCTTGTTAGCTGCAAGATATAAAGTTTTACGTTAATTCTTATATTTTTGTGCTATATCTTGCATCCACTATAAGTTTAAGAAAAGCAGATAACTTAGTATGTAGAGATAACATTTAAGGGTGAGCAAGTAGTTACGAACAATTAAATCATGTACTTAGATACCCTTAGTCATTACAGATTTACATGGCTAGTTTTTTTCTTCTTAAATTTCTACGATACTGATTCAAAAATGATATCAGAGTAACTATACATTAAAATCTAGAAAACATTTATGTTTTATAGAAAAAACAAACAACAAAATGTTTATGTGTCTTTATATGTTTCAATAAACAAATAAATGTTCCTCTGCTTCATCTCCTAATTTGTGAATATTTCAACAATGTACCTTTGAAGAATAATTTTCTCTCTCTTTTATAATCGGTTCCTTTTTCAATGAATTTCTTTTTCATTTTAGAATTTTCAGATTTAATTAAATATTTCTGTTATTTTAAAGTACTGCTTGTACTTAGAATGCATAGAAGAAACTGTTAATTTTATTTCTTTAACGATATGAGAGTAAATATAAAATAATAAAA